CACCCACCCAAAGGACATGGGAGTGAGCTACAGTGTCCACACAGGACTCGTACGTCTCAAACTAGCTGTCTCCCTAGCTTCCATGGACAGACAGTCAAACCATCAGGCCTTTTACAGTCACTGCGACAATGCAAGTGGTTTCTAATTGCGTTCAAAACACTTGTTCAACGCAAGGCGAGCACTTCACCTACTTACACTCGAAAACATGAGCGACAAAAATCAGAACGTTCGTAATCGTATATTACAATTAAAACTTTATCTCAATTGGTTACATATAAGTTATGTACATGAAATAACGCTTCACAATAGAAAATAAATAATTATTAAAATATACACCCGTAACTATAAAAATAGAACGACCCCAAAGCAGCTTTGCAATTTCCTAAAGCTCAAAAGTGCTTTACAAAATTGTACTGTATGAACGTTTCCACATAGTAGACATAATTTTATCTGTATATGTCCGTCCTGTTACTCTCAGGGGCTCATGTATATATAAGATATAAAAAACATATCCGTGAATAAATACAACCAATACCCCTTACCCTTATTGCAGTGTTCGCCTTTTTCGCAAACTTGAGCAATAAAAGGCTTCGAGTACGCTTATACATTTTGAAAGGAACTGTGCAAAAAGTGAATGTAAAAACCAGCAGTAGTGTTCGGGCGTGGAAGAGCCAGAATTTAAATTAAGCATTTCATATTCGGGCCGCATGGGATAAAATATTTATATGACCGCAGCGCGAACTCCCCGTGAGTGTAACGATGTTGTGATAACTCGTTTCAGAGAGTGTACGGCGCTGCTGTTACACACTTGATCGTGTGTTCCTAGCTTTGAAATTTTGCCTATATTCAATTGTTCGACTCCGTACTCTTCACCTCGCCGCATTTTATATAATATCACATTGTGAAGAGGTTTAGATACTGTCCGGTATACATAAATCTATTCGATTGTGCAAGAGTCGTCCGTAAGCCTCGTGTGTAATGTAGTGAGAGTGCGCAGTATTTATTTAGAGTATGTGGCCCGGCAACACGACATTTTACAAGTTAAATAACTAAGACAATCAAAATTTTTGTTGTGAAAATGTTTCGCTAAAATCATAGAAACTTCTTGAATGATTACTCTGATGCAATATTTACAAGTTTTCCCGTGACCTTTTTTTTGCTTTACTGCGCGTAGCAATCAACTTCCTAAAATTATGGCTGAACCGTAAATAAATGAAACCTAGCCATATTCATAAAATTGGGAGGAAAATATAAAAAATATTTTGGCGGAAACCGAGACGGTCGTAATGGGATGTGGAAATGGGAACGGCGCCCCATAACAAGTTTTTTTTTAACATCCCAGGCTGTCTTAGACCTGCAAAAAATTCAGAACTGTTTATTTGACTATAAACACTCTGTTGATGAAAATATAAGTATAGCAGTATAGCCTCTTGTGATAGACTTCGTCCACCTTAAAAAACCAAATCGCCACCTCGACGATAGAAATTATTTGAAAATTTAGTTGGACGATGATGAGATATAGTAAAAACAAGCAGTTGGGGAATTCGAGTAATTTTTCAATTAAAAATCTAATTTCATAAGTAAGCAAATTATACTTGAAATGTATTGAGAAGGGCGATTAGTAGCAGTCAAGTGCTTTGCCAAGTTTTATTGAAATCGGTTACCGGACAGAGAGTGAAACCGGATTCATCGTTTGCTACCCTTAGAGGTAGATTATTTTCTTCAAATTTAAATTTAACCAATACTGAGCACCCTCTTCCCAATAGAAAAAATATCATAAAAATCGATTCACAAATTGCGTAACACACGTAGAAGAAAAATACAGTTGAATAGACTGGAACTTCATTGAAGTCAGTGCAATAAACGACTTTCAACGATCGTTCATCTGCACGGCGATTAAGGAATTTCTTTTCACGCTTGCTAATGACATTCATTAGTCCGTTTTATACATTATGATTAAGAAATTCTCATTATTTATCCCACTTTAGAAAATTAATGGAATCCTAAGACTTTTCAACCGAATTCAAAAGAGGAGGACGTTCTCAATTCTACTTTATTTTTATGTGTATTACGATTACTCCATTTGTGAACCGATTTCTATGACTCGATTTTTTGGGAGAAGTACCTCTGTAGTACCATTTACATTTGAAGAACATATTCTTCCTCTCCAATTAAGAAATGAATCAGATTTATTAAATTTCACCTTCTTTTTAACCAATTTTAATAAAATTTGGCACATGAAATATAATTCCAGTGCAAATTAAAAATTTTATGGTGGCCTAGAGCTGATCTAATGATTTAAAAGGCGGACACACTCATCTGTTTGAAGAAGCTCCTCGACAATATACAGCAGCTACCTTGGGCTCATATGACTTGTTTTGGTATTTTTTGTAAAGTATTTTTTTAAGATGCCAAATGAAGGAACGAAGAAGTCGTGCGCCTGGTGGTAAGATACACACATGTCCTTAGCAGATGCACTACCACTTAGAGCTTTAAATCGCAAAGATCTGAAGACCACTGCCACTGCGTTCGTTACCCTGAGACAGTTTACAAGTCCCAAGTGCCTGTAATTTTACCAGCACCATCTTATTCTTCTTACTCTTCAAAACAATTCACTTTTGGTTCAGGTGGCGTGCAAGTAATAATTCTAACATTCTTATGTACTTGAGTGCGATTTCGGCGAGGAGAGCACAGGAGTTGGCATTTCTTTGACACATAGTGAGGCTTGCAACCGAGGTTGTAATTTTGTGTTTTACGTATTAAGTTATGTTTATTGTGATAAGTTAGTTAATTGTGCATTCTTATATTATATTTCTATTTGTGAGGAACTGTAATTGACTCTCAGTTGTTCATCATCATCATATCAGCCACAAGACGTCCACTGCTGAACATAAGCCTCCTCCAAATATTTCCAGACTAGTCGATCGGACGCGGCGTGCATCCATCGGTTACCCGCCGCCCCTTCCAGGTCATCCGTCCATCTAGCAGGGGGCCGTCCCACTGAACGCCTTCCGGGTCGTAGTCTCCATACGAAAACCTTTCTGCCCCAACGGCCGTCAGTTCTACGAGCTTTGTGCCCTGCCCACTGCCACTTCAACTTGCTAATCCTTTGAGCTATGTCGGTGACTTTAGTTCGATCACGTAGAGAAATGCCGAGCATCTCATCTCAGTTGTTACTATTTATTATATGTATAAGTTAGTTTTAAGCTGTTAGTCTTCCTTTAAGATAAATAAATAAATAAAAATTACTTAAAATTTAAAATGTAATGTACTTGCGAGGCATCTCGTGCGGAATCAATGTCCGTACGAGATGCCTCAGTACAGGCGCTCTGGGGTCGGTCATCTGCCACCTTCAGGATGCTGTTGTTACTCCCCCGGAGCCTTCTAACCTACGATGCTACTTTTCCGCAAGATGTCTTAATCAACCCATTTATCGTCACACTGCTGGGCACGGGTCTCCTCTCATGCGAGGGTTTAGGCCATAATCCGCCACGTTGGTCCAATGCGGGTTGGGGACTTCACTGGTTTTCCGAGGGTTGTGAACCTTCTTCAACGTGCAGGTTTCATCGTTTTCCTTCACCGGAAAACTCGTGCTAAATTTCCAATTAAATTGCGGACATAAATTCCCAGAAACTATTAGGTGTGAGCCCGGATACGAACCAACGACCTCTGCTTGAGAGGCGATAGGTCAAACCATTAAACTATCGCGACTTATTTATTATTAAACATTTATACAATCTAATGCATCCGTTGTATAGCAAATACGATAAATAATACTCCAAAAAAAAATGCTTTTTTCATGGAGTAAAGTAGTACATAACCAAAATAAAATTATTCAGTATTATTTTAGATTGTGTTGTTGGGAACCTTTAAAATAAAACGCTACAATGGGCGTTCCATTGTTTACCTAAGCGGAGCGGAAAACAGCTTTCAGCAACGTGGAGAAAAATGGGCCTTATTTCAACATGAAATAGGCAAGTTTACCGTCTTTAATACATATCAACAAAGCCCTAGTCTGCCCCATATTTTATTCATTAATTAATTTACTAACATTAATTAATGAACATTAATTAACATTAGTTAATTTTTTAATAAATTTAAACGAATTTATTACAATGATGTCGTGAATGAAGACAATTAATTGATCCGCTCTTAAATTACCTATTACATTATTAAATCTAGAAAATTTTAAGCTGGTACTTTCATTCCTTTCAAAGTCTCTGACTGTGGAGTTTGGAGTTTACTATAAATTTCTCGTATAAGTTCATACTGTCGAGTCTCACTAGACTTTTTGTGGGACGCTTGTTGTTGTTGATTCCATGTACTTCCTTTGATCTGGATCTTTTCAATACGAGTGTGATTTCGGCGAGGACAACACTGAATGGGCATTTCTTTGACTCATGGAAAGGCTTGCAACTGCTGTTGTATTTTTATGTTTTACATAATAAGTTATGTTTTATGCGATAGGTTAGTTAAATTGTGCATCCATAGATCATATTTCTATTTGTAAGTATCTGTAATTGGGTTACAGTTGTTACAATTATTATATAAGTTAGTTTTAAGCTGTCGGTTTTCCTTTAACATAAATTTAAAAAAAACGGAACGCAGTAATGCTCACATTACTGCTTGGCGGTGCTTCCTTTACGAACTCTTTCACAAAGGAACTACTGCTACTAGAAAAATACTATGTATATTTTTATAATCACTTAACATGACTTAGCACTGAAGCATTTGAATCTGATTGTCGTTCCCATCATGAGTCACCTTCTGAACCAATGCGTGATTTCTAAATTTGTGTTACATATTTATAAATAGCAATTACATTATAAGTTTCACCTGAAAATTCCCCATGAGAAACTCGTAAATATTGAATAGGTAAGTATATATTTGTTTATGTAGTTTGCTAGTTATATATTGTTGTTTTTGAAAACTTCAACACTAGTGGTCAATTAACAAGTTGCTACTGGCCGTATATATTGAAATCACGAGGTTGATCTCATGCAGTCGTGAAAAGGTATCTATCACCTGAATACTTACTCGGATTTGTTGAAAAATCTAGAATTCTTAATTATTTAGATAACTACATGAGGTACGTACATACCTACTTAAAATTTAATTTTTCATGATTACTTTTTTCGTCGCCTTGAATAGTGAACACCTACTCGTCGTATACGCGTTTTCACATAATTCGTTTTTATTAATTTTTGTTGCAGAAAATCTTATAAACTTCTTGCTCAAATACATTATTAAAGTAACATAGTATCTGAAATGATTGAGATATAATTTTACTAATTAAAATGCTAATTACAAACATTGTTGCGTTTACTACATTTTACACCACATAGAAATCACATACGAGGTTTTCAGTCTAACACGACGTTGTAGAGTTTAGTGCCACGATGTGTTAATTTTTTAGGAGGAACTCATACATCCTAGCTCTATAAACTTTGTGTGAATACTCATCAACGCAAGTAAATAAACACGTAATATTTCCGAGAACTCCTCCTAAAAGTGGTAGAGTTTGACTGTGAAAATAGTATTCCATAAACTGAAACTTGGAATATAATTTCCCATATTTTAAACTTTTTTTAAACTACCCCCAAAACATCATGCAGCGGTGTATTTATTAATCGAAGGAACATGTTTATTTTCCAAGTTAAACGCGATAGAAAAATCGTTTAACCTCCTAAGGCCCTGTGTAAACATCAAAATGTACATAATATGTGAAGTAGTTCAAACCCAGATAATAAATCAGTCATTGTCGGACTAGTGTTCACTACGTAATTTCCGTGGCAATTTTTCTTATTTAAATATTGAAGTATATTATTATGGTGTGATTATTAAATAATATTTCACGATACAATACTCGAATATTAAATAACTTTGCACGATAAAAAAAATCGACTTTTAATTAATAAAAAGTGCCACGGAAATTAGATAAGTAGTGAACACAAGTCGGAGAATAACCGAAATATTACTTCTATAATCACGTAAATGCCCAGTGTACATTATAACGAAAATATCGTATTCAAATTTAGCTCTTATCATTCTATGACCTTAGTGTATCTAGAAAAATACTTTTTTTGTACAAAACTATTATTGCCTGGAACTTCTATGTTATATTAAACGCCCAAATGTGCATTTAAATGTATTAATGCACATTTGGGCGTTTAACGCTTTTCCCATTGTAGTTTGCTAGGTATTAGAAGGTTAAAAGGAAACAATTTTCACATCAAATGCATTGCGCAGTGCTTTACGTGTACACATATACCTAGTGCAAATGCCAGCAATAGAGCTCCTTGTGAAAGAGTTAATCCAGGGAAGTACTGCCACCTTACCCATTTCTGCCGCAAAGCCGTAATGTAAGCATTACTGCGTTTCGGTTTTGTAGTTTACTACTAGGGTTTTGTAGTTTCCTACTAGGGTGTTGGTGAAATTACAGGCACATAGTTTTTTCAACTTATGTCTCAGGATGACGAGCGCAGTGGAAGTGCCTGTCAGATCTGTGCGATTTAAAACTCTGAGTGGCACTGCAACTACTATAGACCGGCGTGTCGCTTACCAGCAGGCGCATGACTTCTTTGTCCCGTCACTTGGTATCGTAAAAAATAAATAATAATTTTCGTAGAACTGTTGTATAGGCTTCCTTAGAAGAGACTGTTGACGTCACACTACAATTATTAAATGCTCTCTGAAACAAAGCAATGATATTATACATTAGGTAGGTAGGTAGGTACTTATTCACTTCTGTTCGAAACCTTTTTATACTATTAGTTACAGAAAATGAACGCAACAGCCTTCTTCGTCGTGACGCTGTTATTCGAATTACAAAGTGTAATTTCATCAAATGATCAAAGTACAAATTACATTACTGAAAGAACTACAAAACCTACAAGTGAATATAATCCTTTAGAGCATTTAATAATCAACCATAATGAAGATAAACAAGTTGATACACCCATTGTGAAAAATAAAGTAATTGAACAAATTACAAATTCTCCAAGACGTGTACAACCATCGACGGAAAGCAACATAGAAAAGATTCCGCCAAATAATGCGAAAAATCCTTTGACTGACTTCACATCAGATGGCAAAGGAAGCGGAAGAGATAGTTCCTCAAAAGCATCAGCCAGAGTAAAGCGACAGTATTATCCTTATCCAGTATATCGAAGACCATGTAAGTAAATCGTTAATACAAACGTAGAATTCTTAATCTTATAAGAATAAGATAGGTACATACCTATAAAATAATATTAAACCACTATCGCTCCGTGAACACCCAAACAATGACTATTTGGTAGGCAGACTTTGAAATGCTGGAAGGCCCTGCACAAGAGCGTAAAGAGGTAATTTTCAGGTTAGTTTTCTCTACCTAATTTTGGTGGTTCTTTTTATTATTCAAGTATTCATACCACACTCGAAAATAACTTTATTTTTTCATGATAATATTTCAGAATATTTAAACAATAAAAATTGCCACCGAAAGCATGTAGAGAAAACCAATCTGAAACTTGTCCAAAGATTGGTCAATGGGCTTTTTAACACCGTCCATTAATTTTAAATGGTCTACTCCAAAAATTTGGCCAGTGCCTAAATTCATAAAAATAAAAAAAAACCTAAACATACACAAACCTACCTTAAGATGAAATTATATAGGTAACAAACAACTACTTAAAAAGCAGGTTCTGGATAATTATTATAGATTAATAGATTCGGAGTAGGTACCTAATGAGATCAATGTCGTGATTTCCTAACAAATCGCTTATTAAATTATTATAGACGCATGAGAGTTGAATATTTGACTGCATCATTATAATACCATTTTAAACTAGGTACAAGTATATATGTACATTTTTAAGTACCTATATTAACTTTCATTAAAAAACTTATTATTTAATAAGCATAATTATTAAAAGAGTAAAAATTTGCTTCTTACAGACTATCCTATCCCAATTATTATAGGAGGAGGCGGTTTTCCTGTGCGAGGATTCGGTGGAAGAGAGTTTGGAGGTAGAGGATATGGAAGTAGAGGATATGGAGGTAGAGGATATGGAGGTAGAGGGTTTGGGAATGGAGGGTTTGAAGGAAGAGGTTTTGGTGGGAGAGGTATTGGCGGGAGAGGTATTGGCGGGAGAGGTATTGGTGGGAGAGGAATAGGCGGATTCGGGGGACGAGGAGGTGTTGGTGGCGGGCGCGGCGGCGGCAGAGGGTAAATGAAGAACTCTTAAAGAAGATAGCCACACATCAGCTGCTGCAATCAGATAGAAAATTTGAAGTAATTTTTACGTATTGTTTTTAATGTATAATATGTATTATTTAATATACATTTGTTTTATTTTATTTTCGAAGCCCCTAAAATAATTTTGAAACGAAAACATGCGTCAGCTGTTAGCTGGATTCGCTCTGGGCCTTTTGGAGGGAAAAGTGTCGTTTTTATTTTGACTTTCAACTATTTTGTGAAATCTAGTTTAAAGTGGAATAGGATAGTGCTATTGTGCCTTAATCGAATATTAAAACGCGAAATTATACGAATCTCGAACTAAAATACCCGTATCGGCCCGTTCTAAGGAATCCCGAGTCAATCCAAACACGCCGCCTCAAATTGCCTATCCTCTTTGTGGCAGCCATATTTACAGAAACATAATTAAGGTAAGACATGGCTCAAAGGACTTATATCCAAGCCAAAATTATTAATAAAAATAACTGTTAGCTGTCTTAAGTGACATTTGAAACTTTTGACTTACGGCGTTTCTTTTGAATCTGTGTCGGTGAGTTCGGTGACTATTTGTTGAGCAAGTTGTGTGGTTTCACTAGTTCCTGTTTCTAAATTTTATGTTAATTGTATGCATATTTCAAATATGGTATAATTACCCGTTCAAATCCAAATGCGTGGCGTCGCCGTAAGCAGATTTACGAAACCAGTAAGTTTGCCAAATGCATTACTTTAACTTTTAATTTTGTATTAACTTTTTTATTTTGATTGAGCTTTTTGTGTATTTAACATTCCGGTAATTTTCCTCTGTAGATATGGACGGTGGTTACGACGAAATAATCTCCGAAAACATATTTTTTGTGGAGCTCAAGAACGAATACCCAAATTTATTTCAACACTGCATAACGCATTCTTGGATAATATGTGTGCCTCGAATAGGAAGTCTGAACACGCGCGTTTTTACTGTAGAAGATTTCTGTGCTCATATACTCGTGCCGAGCGATGAGCTGCCAGAAACTCATTACAGCACACTTACTGAGAAACAAATAACAGTAGCAAACAAAGTCCTTACATTAGAAGTGACTAAAGGACTTCCACTACAAAGCCATATTTTGTTTGAAGAAACATTCTATACAGAAGACTTTATGAAATATAAAGTATGGTGTATTGAGACCCCTTTAGAACCATCAGCTAATGTAGGCGACAATGCTACCACTAAAGAATATCTTTTGACTATCAATGACTGTATAGACCTGCTATGGACTCAAGCTGCTGGCCGTCAAGTCCTTGACCAGATTGAGCACTGTGTACAGACATTTTTAAAGAAGAACCAATTACTGCCTATAGCTATAGGGCCACTGAAGGATGCCGTTAGTGAGCTGTACACACAATGTCTTCAGATTGCATTACAAAACCGAAGACTTCGAGAAAAATCAAAGGCTTGCAAACAAATTCTTGAAAATATAAAACTAGCTGTGGAGAGTTACATGCAACATTTACTCTTTGATTTCATATTTAAACCAATTTGTACTTGTTGTGCTTATGAAGATGCACATCTCAACAAAAAGATTAGAAATATGAGTGAAATACAACTCAGAGACTTGGACATCAAAAGAAACCTGTACCATGCAGTGCCAAAGGCAAAACAAATACTTTCAAAGATGGATTCTTATGACACAGTTTTAGAAAAGCTTTTATGTTTGAAACAAGCTTTGAATGCTATTGATAAGAAAGATAGCAGTAACAATGTTGTTCTGCTTACTGCTGATGACATGTTACCAGTATTCGTGTTTTTAGTCATTAAATCTGGATTACCAAATTGGTACAGCCAGCTCACATACATCAAAGAATTCCGTTTCAGCGGTGTAGGCAAAGGCGAAGCAGATGAAAGTGCATTCCTTATAACAACTTTGGAAGCTGTAATAGAACACATTCAATCTGGTGCTTTAGCTGGACCTCCTGACCCTGAAGCTTATTATTATGAAAGTAGTTTAACAGAACAAAATTTACAAAATGGTAAAGAGAGAAGGAGCAGTTTGACTGAATCAATATCAACATCTGATACAAATAGTAAAGAAGAAACATTAGAATACATATTTGACTTAATCAAAGCAAATCACTTTGAACAAGTGAACACTATACTGTTGAGAAATCAAAAACACATTAATGACATTGAATTGAATGGAAACAATCTGCTAACAGTCTTGGAAGATGATTCTTCAGATGAATATGATGTCGACGCGTATGAATCAGAAATATACCAAAAACTCTGTCACCCTCTATGTAACTGCAAGAAATGCTGCTACAAAATCTCGAGGAATCTCTTAAAAACTTCCCCTACAGTCACATCAAGGGACAGTCATGGCCTTACAGCTTTGCATGTTGCATGCATCCATGGCAAGGCCACAATAGTGGAAACACTAATAGAAATAGGTTCAGAAATCGATCCCACTGACCTGAATGAATGCACGCCACTCCACTATGCGGCATCTAGAGGCCACCAGAATGCTTTATTATTACTTTTGCACTCAGGGGCTAACATAAATCGGACAAATATTGATAAGAATACTCCACTCCATTTATCTGTCAATAATGGTCATATGAATTGTGTTAAAGCCCTAATTTACTTTGCTGAACATAGTCGCAAGAAATTGATAATAAACTGTACCAATGAAAGTGGTCATACACCACTGCATATGGCTTCAAAATGGGGCTATGAGGGTATCGCCCGATTATTGATAGAGAACGGCGCCGAACCCTCTCTACAAAATCGATATAATAAAACCGCATTTGACTACGCACACAACTTAAGGATATTACAAGTTTTGAAATCTTGTACGCCTAATTTATATGAATACATTCACATTACAACTAGTGATGTAAAAGCATTAAACTGCAAAACTGACAATCCTGTTTCTGTCAAGTTGCAAAAGTTACACATGAGAAATAATGATGTTAACAATGCTTCAAAAGCAGTTGAAAACTTGAAAAGAATTGATAGAATTTTAAAAGCTATATCATATGGTGATGTGAAATTAGCGTGCTTTTATATGGGCATTGATTATTCAGTTTACGTTGACAAGCCAAATGGATTTTGCCACCCGCTATGCGAGTGTGAATCTTGTAAAAAGAAGACAGAATTGTTTACTTTAGATTTTGACGTAAATTTCTCTGATACGAATGGATTTACCGCGTTACATTACGCATCCCGGTATGGCTTGGACGAGTTGTGCAATATTTTAATATTGAACAGAGCTAACATAAATTGTTGCAATAAGAAAGGCCAAACAGCATTGCACTTAGCGGCTTTAAGTAATAAGACTGTTGTTATAAGATTATTACTTGACTATGGTGCCAATGTAAACGCGATTGACTTGAATGGAAATACACCTCTACATGATGCTAGTGAAATGGGAAATATTGGCGCCACTAAGATATTGCTTTCATACAATCCTGACATCACTATGTTGAATGGGTTGGATAAATCTGCTCTAGATATAGCTAAAGATAAGGTGCACCTTACTATTATTGATTTGATTGAAAAGCAGATTTTAAATTGTTAGCAGCCAGAGTTATGTATACTCAAAACTTCTCATTTAACTTGTAATGGGTGTGGTTATAGAAATAGTCCGATATAAAAAGCGACCTTGAAATAATGATCTAGCCAATTATGGAAACTATAAACAGGTATTTCATAACTTTAGTTATAAGATAAAATGAATGTCTTATCAATATGATTATTTAAGATAGTACTGCCAAAATGTATAGTCGGCCTTTTGCTTCTTTGTAATAAATAAAACTGCTAATGTAACTATGTCACATGCTCAGAAACGAATTTATAATTAATGACTCCTTAATTTTTGATAATGCGTAGTAAACATTGCCAATGAAACACACACAGCTCACAGGGTTCAACAAGATCCTTTTGTAGTGTAACGTCGTTGTTCGTACGTAATACGTCACTATGTACGTAAATAGGATTATTCACTTTTACCTCATTGCTCATCTCCTTAGCCAAAGTTCAGTTATATTTTATTATGGTGTAAATTTTGTAGGATATATATTTTCCTTGTCGCCATTCCATTGTATGGGTTTTATAATGTTCATTACTTTCATACAGCTTTATTTAACCAAAATGGATATCTCTCTGTGCCATAGAAACACTGCCGTCTTTATGTATACTAATTTCTAAGACTGATTATTTTTATTTTTTAAGTAGGTACTATTTATATCGCGGACTACTTTATTTGTTATCTATCACATTTGACAATAAAAGGTTTATGTAAATATAATACTATTTTCTTTACTAAACTATACCATAACAAGGGAATTAATCATTAAAAAAATGGACATAATGTAACTTTTAATCATGTAATATACATAAAATATAAATATACAAAGTTTGAGCGTGTTCACAATACATAAGTACCACTAATGATATTCCTTGGCGATCATACATATTACATAACCACTTGTGCAACATTGGGGTTCATTTGTATAATGTCATAATATCACTTGATAACAAACTTATTTTAAGTATCATTATATACTTATTATTAAACTGATTTTGTCTAGTGAAGTTAAGAAGAAATTTAACGTCGTGTTACCTAATGCTAAGGGTAGTTTTATTTTTTAAATTTAGAGACATTTTTAAGATTGTTAATAAGTAAAAGGACCAGAGCCCAGGGCAATTACGTATATCCATTGAGTGTATATCTTAGAGCGGTTACACGACGAATTTCAGCAGCGCGTCTGCAGCAATTCAGTAGCGATGCAGTCGCTAATCGTAGTTTCACAAACGCGTTTGTTTCGCTGCTGAGTCGCCGTATGTAACGGCTCTTACCCACTTTTGGCCACTTAAATGACATTTGAAACTTTTAACTTCACTGGAATAACAGATTAACTAAAGTGAATCCTGAAACCTATCTTGGTATAGCCTAACATTAATTTTTAAATTAATTTTTGTACGTTTAGACATATAAAATAATCAATTCTGCATAATGTTTTACAAAAACTTAATATAATTTATTATCGCTGTCATGTACTGAGAACCAGTCCTGACCAACACAATAAGAGTCTACTTACAAAAATTGGACCTTATGTCGTCTTATTTGTTGATGTTTGCAATGCTCAAAAAGAGCAATTGTATAACTTTTTAGTATAAATTGCAGATGTACCGAGGTAAGTGTACAAAGGTCCAGTTATGAGACAAAGTGCAAAATACCGCCCAATTTTTATAATTAAAATCCAATCATTATTGTGTCCTGTTTCACGCCTTATAGTTGAAGAATGACTATAGTAATTCTGTAACACGTCACAATTAATTTGTGACTTATGTTCACAAAATTAAGTAGAGGTTCTAACTTAATATTAACCCACTTCGCGTCCTAGAGACACACGGTGCTGAGACATACGTTTCTAACGATTTTGGTATTGTAAGGTCCTTTAGCCGCACATCCACCATAAAAAAAAATTACGAAATTCTTTAGGGACACCGTGTCTCCAGGATGTGTGACGGGTTTAAAATGAATACAATAATATTATTTACAATAAATTCTCTCTTCTTTAAAACTACAACTTAATTTGAGTAGCGAGTTAAGTTAAAAAAATGCAATAAATTAAAACTATGTTAATGTGTATGTTTACGTACGACATAAATAAGAAATTTCATATCTACAGTATAGGATTCTATTTTATTAAAGGGGGACATATTTGCTTCGTCATATAAGGAGCCGTAACAGTCCTATTTCTGACAAACAATTTAGTGGTATATGCATATAAACGGGGTTTTATCCATTTCCTAATATATGGTGGTGGCGCCAGTGACCGACAAGCATCACTGTTCGACTTCTATTTTGTATTTGAAGGTAAGTAAAAATAATTTTATAAACGTATATTCATTAAATATACATCTCAAGATTGTTTACATTTAGTGAAGTACCTTAACAAATGGACTATAGGACAAAATTTTCTACCACCATACCATACCATAGTAACACGTTTCTTATTAATCAGTGTCAATTACTAGGTATTCATTATTGATGGGTTAGTTAGAGGATTTTTTTTACTGAAGAAATTCTTGTTTAGGTTTTTTTATAGTAATAACTATAATAGTTTTTTTATAAAACATACTACAACATAACCATTCTCGAGGATTGTAATCTGTGAAGTAAAAAAATCACTATTGATAATTGTTTAAAAAAAAAAGTTATTTCAAATTTAAAGATACACTTCCCTTAAAGTGTCGATCATTGGTACCATCACATTCTGAGAGTTTATAGATTCGATATTGACAGAGTAGTTTATTTACACAGAGTGGCAGCTCGTGAAACGATCACGAACAGTTGGACCTAGTTAAACAAAAAGGATCTAATGCATATCCAGTCACTTTCGAGACATGGCAGTTTGAAGTTTAAAATGTTTCTCACTCTTGTTTTATTTTCAAAACTTATAATGTCATGTAACTCCAGAGATATTTACTTATGTTTATGTTGGATTAAGGACTTTATGAACCGTTTTGTACATATAACTCATTTTTTGATAATTTTGTGGATTGGTTCCTTTTTGCTTAACTACGGCTACGTCCAATTAAAGCAACTCAATTGGATTTTATATTCTCATATATCTTTGTTTCTCTGTATACTCTGTATACTGTGTACGTTGTATAGGGAACCGATTACGTTTTCGGGAATGACTATAACTTACATTGTGGTCGGGAATTTCTTTTTACACAAACATGTGAAATTTACTATCCATTATTCGTCTGTTAATCCAAATTAAATTTATTTGCACCCTGCACAAATATAAAATAACAGGAACATTTCACACTAAAATGATTAACTCTTAATCGAATGTCTTTCTCAGTTTTACAACACTGCCACCCTTATAATAAACAACGTAATCGATATTTTTAGTGAAATTGAGTTATTAACATAGCTGGAATCAGCGACACCAGATCTAAAACCCTATAAGGGGTTTTTTTATTAACCGACTTAAAAAGGAGGTTTTTCAATTCGACAGTATTTTTTGTATGTATGTATGCGATTACTCGGCATTTGTGAACCGATTTTGACGATTCTTTTTTTTATTTGAAAGAGCCTCAGTATTGGTCCCATTTAAATTTGAAGAAAATATTCCACCTTTAAAGGTCGCAAAGTAGAGGTGAATTCGCTTTCACGCACTTTTCGGTAACCGATTTCAATAAAGCATGCCAAATAGATGTAATGCCACAAAGGAGATCCGCCAAAATGACCCCAGGCCCGGCGCCAAAATAATGTAACTCAGTTTTTAGAGTAAAAATAGCCATAATATTATATAGTTTCGGTATTGCTAAATTCACGTGCTAACATAGTTTTTTTTGCCTGTTGAATTTTCATAGGCGCTTTATGAAAAATTCTATTTATTAGAGAAGCGTCGTCCTTTTTAGTTCATTAACATTGTAATAAATAATTATGGCATATAAGCATGTATATCAATCATATTATTATTATTATTAAATGAAACTCAACTCACTACAGAAGAGGCCAACAAATCACGACTAATAACCATGTGTCGTTGGGTTGTAGAAACTGTGAATGGCAAGTTTAAAAATAGCTTTAAAATCTTCCGCAACAGAATGTTTAACAATACCTTAACGAAAACATTCACAGATTTCAAAATAGCAGCGGCTTTGATAAACTGCTTTCAGGAGCCTTACAAAGACAGTAGATTTACTGATGATTTTATTGCATCAATAAACCGCAACATACATAAAACAAATCTGTTGGCCGCGTATGTTTTAGAAAACAATTTGAACAGGCAAAGATCATCATTTACTAGACTGGATGCAAACAATCCAGAAGTATCAGATTTTCCGGAGCTGACGTACGAAGATCTGATAAAATTCGCTATAGGCACGTATCACCTCAAAATAGCACGTTCGTACTGCAGCGAACACACGAAGAGAACTGGCGTATATGAAATCGAGGTTTACAGACACTCAGAACAAATAAATATAATAAATGATCGAGTTATAAGGTCACAGTCGCATACAAACAACGTACTGATTCGCTGCAGAATTAATTCACGTCATGTCAGATCAAACACTTATTATACCTATTTGTTATTTAATACTGCGGTTTTTGGAATCGAGGCAGTGAAAGAACATTACTGTTCCTGTTATCACGGGAACAGAACACTGGGAAGTTGCGCCCATGTAATAAGCGTCATGTACTATTTGGGTTGGGCTAGACACAATGAACGTGATTTAGACCACCCAGCTCTAGGCTTAGTTTTTGTATTAGTTGATTTAGAAAACTAAGTCCATCAAACATATATTCTGTCGAGAAAATGAAAATATATATTATTTTATAACCATACTAAGTGTTTTATTTTACACATAGTTTCGAACATCTAATTTATTTTTTCATAGTTCACAGTACAGTACATACATGCTTATATGCCATAATGACTAATTACAAGATTAATGAACTAAAAATGACGACGTTTCTCTAAAAAATATAATTTTACAAAGAGCCCCTATTAAAATTCAACGGGCAAAAAGACAATGTTAGCATGTGAATTTAGCAATACCGAAACTATATAATATTTTTGCTATTTTTACTCTAAAAATTGAGTTACATTATTTTGGCGCCGGGCCTGGGGTAATTTTGTATGGGATTTGGCGGATCTCCTTTATCAGGTAGGTGTTTTTTTTTTTAAAAATTATCTAATTTAGTTTGTTTTATTGTTAAGCTAAATCAACATAATTGACATTTTTGAAAGAAAAAAGAACTTTAGGCGTTGTTTATGAGAGGCAGAATAGTATTATAAGACCATACTTAACATACAAATGTAGCAGCGCGCACACATATTCGCGTCATCTCGCGTAGTCGTTCCGCACGCCTTATATTATTAAGCGAATGTGTGCATCCGGACACGGCGGGGCGTGCACACATATAAGCCTGGCTGCTACGTTTGTATAGAGTTACCAAACTTGTCTTATTGTAACCATGATTTTACAATCTCTAAATCTATTATTTCACATTCCTTACCAATAGCACCAACCAAAATTGAACAATATTAGAACATATTTAAGTGGAATGTTAAGAACACTTACTAATTACAATAACATAGTCATAAACTCATCAAACACCGTAGTTTGATAGCTCAATTATAATTTCTAAAATACACGCAAAATTATACCAATATATTAATTCTGTTCTATATACGAGTGATATATTTAAACTAAAATAAAAAATGTCATTTTCGAACTAATTTTTGTAAATTAAAAACCTTCATCCTTATTTCATTTCATCCTAATTTGTCACAATAATCTTACTCCCAAGCATAGCAAAATCATCTCCTAATACCTACATTAACTGACAATTTAACTGAGAACGTTATAAGCTTCTGTTGTTTATTAAGTTAACAAATCTGCGCTAACTTGTTAATTAAATATTGGTCCCTTATCATTCAAAGGACATTGCAGGCCCTCTTTTGCTATAAAACATTGAAATTACATAAGTAATGTCGAAATAATAACCGCACTAATCCTTTAGACAGGAATCCGCGTAATGGATGGCATAAGTTTAATAAACACCTAATAATCACTAATTAGAGATCTAAACACTGACTTCACTCACTTATTATTCATAAAAATGTCTTATTAAATAGATAAAAATCACATAATAATCGTCTTTATGTTTTGTGCTTACTGAGGCGGCACAGTCCAAATAGGAATATCTTCCTTTTTTTTCTTTTTGTAATGTCGGTCTCTGAGTCTGACGTCATCTTGTCTAACTTTATGATCTGGTCCTTCGCTCCTCCAGTCATTTCTCTTTCGCGGTGAACCATTTCTGTGGTACTTATATTGTTTTTCTTCATTTTCGTCTACGTAAACTTTACTTTTGACAAACAGTTCATTTTTGTCTGGGTTACACAAGGCATCGGAAATTTCTTCGAATCCTTGGTTGTCAAGTTCTATGACGTCATCTCTATGGAAGGTAAAAGAATGTGGGTAATAAGCTTGAAGAATATCTTCGTGCCGATATTGCTGCATTTGTATCCAAACATGTGGTAATAGGAGCGGGAATCTCCTTAACCAGTATGTGATGAAACCGTCGGGCAGCTTGCCGAGGGTTTCGCGTACTTCGGATTCTAGTTCTCTGTAGTGATGTTTCTGTAACAAAGATTTTTATTTTTAATAAAAATATATTATCACCTTTATTCACTACGCAACTACAATTAAGACGTTTGACCTATAGAAACAGAGACATTTAAAATATTGAAGCAGACTACGTTTTTTTTTATAATAAAAAAACCAAGTGACGAGATGAACAAATCGTGCGCCTGGTGTTAAGGAACACGCCTGGCCATAGCAATTTTTTTTTTTTTTTTTTTTTTTTTTTTAAATAACGCACACACTCAACATAGCCCCGCACTAGGGAAACCCTGTGTCGCGGGTGCCATGGACACACACATAGACAACCACAAATTACACCCAAACTCACGAGAGAAATAATTGTAGGCCATACAACTATTTTTCCCGGCCCGGGAATCGAACCTGGGACCTCTGCGTGGCAGTCCGGCATGGTAACCGTTCGGCCACGGAGGCAGTTGCAATTGCAGTGCCACTCAGAACTTTATCGTAAATATTTTTTTTTATAAAAAATAAGTGCGCATTTGACCTCCATCTCACCTGATGGAAAGTGATGGTGAGGACAACGATGTAGCATGCACACCTAAATAATGCCTATTCACTCTCATCTCGAAAGCCGCTCGCCATATAAATGTGGAAGCGAAACGCTTCGTGATCCTGGGAATATCTACGACATAGGGGTGGAATCCCAGCCCACGTCTAGTCCCCCGATGATGGAAAGGGGAAAGCGGAATCAAATTATGCAATTCCATCACACACTCTCGGTGATATATCCTGTAGATTACCGACAAGCAGGCAACTTTACGGCGGTGTTCAAGGCTAGGCAGCTTCGCCTCTACTAATTTCGAGTCACCAATAAGCCTCTTGGCACGCTTGTATATTAAATGTATGTGACACGCTTGTATGTAGCAGAACCATCCCATAAGTGGCAGCAGTACTCGATACACGACCGGACTTGTGCTTGGTACAGCTGAAGCAACTATCCCGGTGTGAAATAACGCCTCACCTTGGAAAGAATGCCAAGCTTCCTGGCTGCATTTTTGGCCATGGATTCAATGTATCTGCCGAAATTCAGATTGGACGACAGGTCCATTCCAAGTAGCTGGAGATGGTCGACTATCGGTATGGATACATCACGAAACGTCGAAGTCGGGTGATAGGGACTACGTTTTGTGGAGAATAGAGTAGAGTAGAGTAGAGTTTTGGTAGCATTAAATTTGACAAGATTGGCGTCGTCCCAATCGAAGACTGCCTTAAGTGTCAAATTCAAACGAGTAACCATGGACTCTCGACAAGACTGGATTTCTTCTCCACTGATCCTGGCATTGGTCAAGTACCTGTCCACAACTGTGCTGTCATCAGAATACCCAAAGGCTCCTGGAATTAAAATGTCATTGATATGCAGCAGAAAGAGATTTACGGACAGTACGGAACCCTAAGGAACTCCATGGAAATCTATCGCCCTATGTTCGGAAGAATAACCTTCTAAGACCACTCGAATCGAACGTTCACTTAAGAAATACGAAATCCAGTTGCAAAGGTCAGTGGGAAGCTTGCTTAAAAGGCTTGCATGCCAGACCCTGCTAAAGGCTTTAGAAATGTCTAAAGACACTGCAAGGGCTTCGCATTGTCTTTCTGCAGCCTAGCTCCATAGACAAGAGGTGTACACAAGAAGATCCCCAGTAGATCGCCCTCGTCGGAATCCGTACTGGCGATCACTGAGGAAGTCGTTGTCTTCAAGGTACGATGGGAGACGATTATTAAGTACACGTTCCCTAGTCTTGCAGATTATGGAAGTGACTGAGATAGGTCGATAGTTGACAGCATCAGCTCTGCTTCCTTTTTTTGGGCACAGGCTGCACATTTGCAAGCTTCCACGACCTGGGAACTACACCAGTCTAAAGTGAGAGGCGATACAAGCGTGTGAGAACAGGAGACAACTCAGGCGCACATTTACGCAGGACTATTGCTGGAATCCCTTCTTGTCCGCTAGCTTTATTCACGTCTAAACTTCACAGAGTTCTGAGTACCTCTTAGTGGCGTATGCGAACTGGTGCCATACTGCAGCCAGTAGCCAGTGTGAGGTAAAGAAGGTGGTAGGTTCCCTGCGGCATCCAGATGCGAGTTTTCTGCAGAGTGAAACAAAAGATTCGCCTTCTCTTCCGCAGTATGAGCCAGCGAGCCATCCAGCCTCAGCAGAGGTGGTAAAGTAGAGAGGCTAAAGTTTGATTCGACCTCTTTGGCAAGGGACCAAAAAGACTTGCTGCCTGCTGGGAAAGAGGCAAGTTTGGCCCCTATGCTGGCATAGGGATGCCACATGGTCGAACTTTGCCCTGCGTAACACTTTTTTTGCACTTCTTGGCAGCCTTATTAAAAGCTTTCTTCAAATTCCGAGTACTCGGAGCTTTGCGCAGTTGAGCATGTGCCCAAGCTTGATACGCCGACTGTTTTTGTGATTCAGCACGGCTACAGTCAGCGCCAAACCAAGGACGAGCTTGGGGTCCATTAGGTGCATCAGAGTATGGTATGTAATACTCAATACCCAAACGCAAGACCTCGACTACAGCATCAGCACAGCTCGACGAGTCTCCTGAAGAAAAGCAAGCCTACCAGGGATATGAAGCAAGAAAAATGGCGTATTTCGTCCCAATCTGCTAACCTGTATCGCCACACCCGTGTCGTGGCATTGGGGTCCTGATCAAGTGGGGAGTATGCGTATACAGCTTTCACCAGGCAGTGGTCGAAAGTACCCAATGGTGCATCCACAAACACAGAGTATCGGTCTGGATCAGTTATTAGCAGTAGGTCCAAGCAATTAGCCGTATGAGACTTAACATCTGGGATCCTTGTGGCGCCACTGACAAGCTGGGAAAGGCTTAGCGTTAATGCAAGTTTACGCGTCTCTCTCCCAGCACGATCGGTCTTCTGGTACGGGAACAACCATTATTGATGGTGCGCATTGAAATCCCCCAGAATGACTAGTTGGCCATTGGGTACCTATGTTCAGCATCATCAGACGTCTGGCTCGGATGTTGGAACAGCTTGGTCGTCTCCTGATCTCCATTGTGCGAGCGGTAGAAACAACAGTACACTATTTGTGTGACTCCCGTGTCAACCAGAAACACTCGGCCACAAAACAGAAAAACTTGGTGACTCAAGGTTCTTGAGACGCTTGACACAGATGTCATCGCGAACGTACACACAGAGTCCGTCGCGAGATAAAAACCTGTGCTCCAGAGTATACCCAGGGTAGCTGAGGTACGCCGCGTCAACCGGACATCTGATCTGCCTCTCGGAAAGGAACAGCAGCTGCGGTTTGTCGGTTTCCAGGTGGTGGTAGACCGCTTCGATATTTGAGTGCAGCCCTCTGATGTTGGTGAAGTGTACTTTTAAAGGGAGTACGTGCAACCGCTGTGAGAAATGTATTCCTTTTTTGTTACTCATAATTTTAAATTGGAGAAGCGAATAGGCAAGAGGAAGGCAGTGGAACGAGGCATTGCGTCGTCCAACCAAGCAGCAAGCTCACACTGCCATACATCGGTTTGGAGACGGCGGGGACGCCCAAACCCCCCGGAGATGGCGACCTGGTCCTTCCCTTCGGTCGTCAACCGGCTAGGTGGAGCATTCCGGGATTTTTCGTTGGGTGGCGGGGCAGCTTTCACGAGTGGCTTTCCCGCTAATTGTGCCCAACTTCCCACTGTCGGCCAGCGGTGCACCGCGCTTCGGATCCCGCTAGCCTCCAGAACCGAGTGCTCAGTGTGGCAGTACAAGCAGCTACTACTCGTCGTTAGACGCAATGCAACCGTTCAGACCCGACCTCCTAATGGCAACTCCCGAACATAAGCCGGAACACGGATAAACCATTTAGCGACTCGACTGGGTCGGAAGGTTGGTTACCAGCCACAGCCGAAGCCTACTACCAGTAGTTGTTGCTCTTTAGCACCACCCAGGGATCACTTGTAGGATCTCAAGGGTAAACCTACGGAAGCGAGCAACATTGGCCCCCAAAAAATCTGAAGGACACTGCCATTGCACCTGTCACTGTCATCATCATTTTATTTAAGAGCCAGACTCGGTGTAGCCTTCTCCACTCCTCACGGTTCATAGCCAGTTCTTTGACCTGTCACTGTAAAATGTATTAAATAAATTTAAAAAAGACTTAGACATAAGTTGACAGAAATAGATAAAGTGGCAGAACTTCCCTGGACGAATTCTTTTACAAGGAGGTCTACTGCTACTGATTTACGAATTGTACGATTAGTCCGAAACTGCGTGAAGACGTAAATTATAACCTCAGGGCTCTCGTACAGAAACAACTAAAGTATTGGCAGCCTTTTAAATTCCTATTAAGGACTACGAGCATTGATAAATTGGTGTTAGTGGTTATTTCTACATACAAAGAACATAAGAGTTTCACCCAATATAGATCAATCACTCACCTTGTTCCTAATAGCTCGCAGCAAATGCGCCATGCGCTCGCCGCGGTACGTCCTGCGCGTGCGCAAGTCTCCCGCCACTACGGAACAAACGTGCGCGCGCCAATCGCCACGTATTACCTTACGGGCACCGTACTCTATTGGGTGCTCTGTGATTGGAATGTTACTGCTCTCCACTTGATCGCTTACGTCCTGGAATAGTAAGTAAAATAATGATACATAAAAGGTAGGTATGGTTCAACATTTTTTTTCTTTTCGTTAACTATAAAATAATGCCCATTATTGGGTCAATTACATGGGTTTAATAAGTACGTTATTACAGACACCGGCAAGTAAGGATTGCCGGAAGAGTATGAGATTAACTCACATTTTTTTCAATTTTACTCATTGTATTATACGTGGCAAGTTATTCCCGTTCCCGCCCAAATAAATAAAGTGCTTGTCTCAAACAATGCGACAAATATATTATGTTGTTTACTAAAAGACGGGAAAACGAATATATTCACAAAAGTATCTTTTAAATTCTTTATTGCAACTATACAACTTTTTTAAATCTAATGGCATTTCATTTTTTTTGTAACTTCGATGTTGTAAGCAATGGTCAAACATTTAAAAGTTTAATGTACTGCTAAAAAGTAAATTTTCATGCTGACTTCTTGGGAAGTTCTTTGTTTGTTTTTATTTTTGTAATGTGGCCGAAAATCAGGCTCTTTCGTGTTCAAAGAAAAAGCGGACACTTAAACTGCCAACAGATTGACTGCATATATGCAGTTAATACGTGATGTCGTAATCAACTTCATGTAGCCGAGACCTCCACTGCATGAAGTTAATAACGACTTCACGCATTAACTGCATGAAATCGATCTCTTCTACATGAAGTAGGTTTCGACTTAACAGTTAATGCGTTAATGTAAATTTCGACAGTTAATGCGTGAAGTCGTTTTCAACTTCACGTAGTCGAAGTCGCGGACTACGACTTCACGCATTAACTGCAAACATGTATTAATTTAATTATCATGTCAGTTAAACGTGACCAGGTAAATATATACAGTAGCAATTGTATTCTACAGTGAAAAATAGCATACCCAATCTGTATTTACAAAAACTTTAACATTAAATTTTTGTATAATACACTTCTATTATTCTATTACTTATAAAAAGTAAATTAATTTAAACCTTGGAGTTAGATTCTTTACATTTTTTACGTAACTGTTGCATAGTACTGGTTTTGAGACGACAAAGTACATTTTTTTATACTCGTAAGCCATATGTTATAACATACGGTTGAAGCATGCCGGTGGCAACAACACCACTATTCGCTAACATAGCTTAAAATTTTCGTGGAGTCTGAATGTATCCTAACTGGTCAACATTCAATCACTAATTAAGTATTGTAATTATTTATCTAAAAGCTATTAATAAAAAGTTATTATTATTATTACATTTTGCTGCCTTAACAATATCATTTGTTTTATTGAATATCATGATATTTTTACTATCACAATACAATAATCAATATTAATACATATTTTCCGTGAAAATACTCCAGTGGTTTGTTATTGTTGTTATTAATACAAACATCGAATAACACAAACAAAAATTCCTTCGTTCTAACTGGACACGAACCAGCGTTCGTTGCCACACCGGGGCAACATATCATTTGTTTCAATTAGTTCGCATGAATTGTCTCATATTATGTTGGTTGTGCAGAGGTAGTTGAGATGTCATCTGGTTAGCGACATATAGTAAAACAGGAACAATTTTAGATAGCGTTTATTTGTTCATGGTGCTAATAGAAGTGCAATAATAATTCAATTACAATATACGGAATCTTATGCCTACTCAACATTTCCTTCAATATGCAATCCAGTGACCTACTAAAGAAGTCATGTTGCTCCGACACATTACAATGTAAAAACAAAAAAAAATGCACTTTCCTTAGCGAGGGCCAATTATAGACAAAATAGTTTTTTTTTAATGTAGAGCTAGCAAGAGCTTGGACAGTGTGCTGAGCGATCATGACCAGGATGTTGATATATTCAATTGTAATGTTGATACGCTAAAGCGTAAACTCACGGACATTCTATTTAATTTTATCGAATAATCAAATTATTTTGGTACTGAGACTGTTTGCGCAGGAATTGGGTTGTTATATTTAAGTAAGTGCATGTTGTTGTTAACAAATACTTTTCTTTGTTTAATTGCCGTATTTCGACTCATCCGTAGAACAAAGGCGTATATGTAAGACTGTTTATTCGCAGAACATTGTACATTTCGTTCGTTGTTTTTAGCTGTGGGTATCAAATAGACTGTTGTTCGATTTTATATTTCCGAAACGAAATAAGATATAAAAATTCTAAAAACACCTATCGATTGGCCTTATTTAGAATAACGAGATTATGTATTTATCATATTTTCGCTGTGTAATCACATCAGACTCTGTTCTTTGGATGAGTGATTTGATTGGTCTGAAACTATAGGTAACATAGTAAATAACGGTAGGTAAATAGGAAACCTGCAATTGGCTTTATGTTTCTATTTCTGTTTTTATTAAATGGTTGAAGCTGTTGGTTTTCCGTGAATGAATAAAATAAATAAATACCTGCAAAAAGTTGAGTATGCACTGCTTGCCCCAGAACATGGGATACTTGAGCACAGTCTCGCAGGGTGGTCTTGCGTGCGGTCGCGCAGATATCATGGCGCGAATTAGTATCTTTGTTACCAACACCTCTTCTTCGGGTAGTACTTTTCTAAAAAAACGCATGTAGTCAGTTACATTAGAAGCTAGTAACGACACTAAGAAAGTTGTTACATGTTCTAACGACAAAGTTTGTTTCGAAATTCACATTTGAATCCAGAATCCATGGCTGACTCGACGTTATGACGGCAAATGCTGCGCGCCTATCGTGATAATAAGCACGTTACATAATATACGTCATGTAGTATAACTACCACCTGTTCGGCGGGTCAATGCTTACAATGTCACTCGCAGCAAAAATTGTCACATTACTATTTTAGTTGTAAATATTTTTTTTTACAATACCAAATGACGAGACAAACAAATCGTGCGCCTGGTGGTAAGCGACACGTCTGTCCATAACATTTGCAGTGCCACTCAGAGCTTTAAAACGTAAAGATCGGAGCGGTACTGCCACTGCGCCCGTCACCCTAAGACGTAAGTTGACAAGTCTCATTTGCCTGTAATTTTACAATTATTACCTAGCGAACGCTACAATCTTATAAAATTAAAGGAGCGTGCGACCCGCGCTGTGTAACGCGAGGTTATGCGAATATGTGCGTACGCACTCGTTCGCGCTGCGGGCGTGCCCTCATACAAGCCACGCTGCTACGTTTGGATAGAATTACACTACTCGTACTACTCCGTGTATATCGTTACACTATGCACGCAAGGCCCATCTGTCTTTTATCGAAACCTCTTCATTAACATGTCAAAAAAAAATCATTAAATGATACAGATAAAACACCTATTTACCGTGACATGGTGCGAAATTTATCGATTTAAATAAAAAAGGGTCATACTCCAAATAGTCCAAATTGTAATCGCCGGTGAGTATGTTCGCTTGTCGCCGTAGCATGTCGCCGAATGGATGTTGACCTTTAGACAGCACGTAGTAAAACACACAGCCCAGCGAGAATATGTCCACTGAAGTCGTCTGCAATAAAAAATGTTTTGATACCGATAAATTATTAATTCTATATCAGCTCATAAGTTCCTACAATTCAGTTGTTTCAATTTAAATGTTTGGAGCAAAGCTGCTGAAAAGTTTTTTTGTATATATCAAGTGACGGGACGAATAAGTCGTGCGCCTGATGGTAAACTACACGTCTGTCCATAATAGTTGCAATGCCATTCAGAGCTTTAAATCGCAAAGATTTGAGGGGCACCGCCACTGCGCCCGTTTTACGTAAGTTGACAAGCCTCATGGGCCTGTAATTTCACCATAAACTATAAAACGGCGGAAGATACACAGTAATGCTCATATTACTGCTTAGCGGTAGAAACAAGTAGGATGGCAGTATTCCTTCATGAATTTAATTTAATATTAATTAAGAATGGGTAATATAGCTTTTTCTGAATATCCCATCAAAACTATATATCAATATTCGAAATCGGATTTCGAAACTATATATTTTATGAAACTATATATTCATGGATACAGCCCGCGTGCGCGCTGCGTTGATACATTGCCGTCACTGATATTCGGAATCAGATTTCGAAACTATATATTATTGGATATAGGTTTACAAGAGCAATGCGGACCAATGTTAGTATACAGTTTCGAAGACGCACAAAAAAGGTTTCGCGTTGATATTCACTCAGAATATCTGATACAAAGCAATATCGGTATATAGTTTGGAAAATATATGTTTTCGTGTTGGTATCCGAGTGGATTACCGAGTAGTGATCGCTCGACTTGATTCGGCATCGCTATAAAATACGCGATGCGGAACGATATCTATATATAGTTTCTAAGATACACGATATCGGATATTCGATATTGCCACAATATATAGTTTCAATAACTATATACAATTTATAACGCCCATTCCTAATATTGACCTTTGGCGTCGACGCAAGTGTACTATGGGAATAGGTGAATTTTTTTGACAAAAATACTTATTTCTGATATATATAACGAAGTGAAGGGGTAAGCACTTTTTCTTTGATCTAGGAATAAGCGCAGATGCAATAACAGAAAATGCGTTTGTCGAAGTAATATTTATGTATTTTGGAAGTTAGATGTTTTTGCAAACATTGCTTCAGAATGCTAAAAATCACGCAATGGTAAAAAACATTAATGTCCATTTGCACTAAACTCAAGTACTTCTTAAACAAATTCTTAAATTGATAATAATAAGAACAAGACACTCTTAACACAATGAATTAAGAGTGTATTTTGTATTGCAAGCATTGGCCTAAGACGCACATGAGTTTAGTACAAGTGAACATAAGTCCTAACGTCGTATGTTTTTTATTTAACATGTTATATGCCTTCAGACTGATTTTAAATACCGAGTTAAGAGCCCCATTCTCTTTAAAACGCTCTGTGGTGAAAATTATTTGGCACTTCAGGTTCTTTACCTCTCACCTACAGAACTATAGTCCTATCTGAATTAACTTACCGTTCTTTCGCCATTGATCATCTCTGGCGCAATCCAGCCATCCGTTCCGGTGACACCTGACCGGCGAGAAAAGCTTACTCTTCCGATGTTCAGTTTTTTCGATAGACCAAAATCGGATATCATAGCCCGCACCTCACCCGTGCCAGACGGCATCGAAAGTAGGACGTTGTGCGGTTTTATGTCTCGATGCACTGTAACGCATACGAACCGTTATAACGTAATGAGTGTGTAGAGCTATATCAATTCAATATCATTGGGTGTAGCAAATAATGTTTAAATGTAACTGTATAAAACCATACTCGTTCATAAATATTAAAGGAGGATTTAGAAATAATATGAATATATTCTAAAGACACTTTATCCACGGTTATAACGTTTTTTTGGGACAGGCCTATGTTCAGCAGTGGACGTCTTCCGGCTGACATGATGATGATGTTATGATAACGTGTTAATCATTGGACACAAATACACACGCCGGTACTTTATTATTAAGCGAAACACTAGCAAAATCCCGAAAGTAATGCAGTATTTTTTTAAGTCTAGCTGTTATTTTACAATTTTTTTAGGTCTTATTTGAAAATGAAAAATTAAAACAACAATTTTTTTCATTAATTTGATGCTGCGTTCTTGTCAATTTCGTAATCTTTCATTGAAAAATGTTTATTTATTTATTATACTTTGATTTAATCAATGTTAAACTGTTTATTACAAAGCATAATAAAATAAAATAAAACGCAAAAGTTTAAGTTCGATTAAACAAAGTTTAATTTCGCTAAACAAAAGTTTAACTTCGATTTTTTTTTATGGACAATGAGTAACACTGTATTAAGTCGGTATTAAAATATGTTACTTTAATTGCTATTTTACATCTAATTCTTATTTAAATAAATTTAAACGTTAATGAAAATTTGCTGGTGTGTGTACACATTCACCATTCATCTAAGACATAAATAAATATAAAAGCAAACATTTGAAAGTAAATTAAAAAATAAAAAGAAACACAATAGAAGTCCTCACCTATATCCATAGAATGTAAATGCGATAGCCCCATCGTGGCTTGACGTAACACTTCCACAGCGTCGATCCTGCACTCAAAATTCAGTTTCTTCTCGACGTAATCTTGCAATGTTGCTGAGCACAATTCTAAAGCGATATACCTAAAAATATAAACCAAGACATGATTTTTTGTCCTTTTTTTTTTTTAATGTGAAAGACGCATGTTTGACCGCTATGTCATTATAATATGTTCTAATCAATCAATCATTTTCATACTTTGTGAAATATATTTATTATTTTTTATTATTACCTCACAAAATTATAGTACAAAAATTACCTAAAAATCTAAGGTCTGATCACACAATCAAATTATGTCCAATGTTTCATTTAAACTTATAGTTATTTACATCGAGTTCTTAGATTTTCGCGTTTGTTGCAAATTGGAAATGTATAAATGAATTAGAAAAGTATTTTACCGATCTAAATCGCGTATATTTGTTTTTCTTTTTTCAAACAAACCAACGTTTCTAGCTCTTTACAGGTCCCATGGTCACGGCTGACTGAAGTAAAGTCATCAACCAGTATGTCTAATACGTCGGGCGCACTATAAGTTTCCGTAATGAATAAGAAAGAAATACTATAAACGGTCAGAAATGAATTTATTGTTTCTCAAAATATTCTCCGTTAGCGTTAATGCACTTTTTCATACGAATGAACCAATTTTGAAAACATTTATGCCAACTTCTCCGTGACAATCTCTGAAACATATTTTTCATACTCTTCAACAGCCTCTTCCGGTGATGAAAATGGTTGACCACGTAACTGGTTCTTATTTTTTTGAAATAAATAAAAGTCACAAGGTGCCAGGTCGGGACTGTACGCGGGATAGCTCATAAGGTCAACGTTATTCACCTTCAAAAATTCATTTGTCTGTCTGGCCGTGTGAGAACTCGTATTCTCGTGGTGGAGTTTGTCAATAGCTTCCCTCAAACAAATGGTCGTGTCTCAATTACTATTCACGGTACAACGATTCTCCAAAGCCACAGTAGCTACGTGTTCAGTTTTATTAAAAAAAAGAAGCAATCATCCGCTTAGAGGCACTTTGCACGCGCGCCACTTAGCTTGGTTTCAGCTCATCTCAAAAGACCCATATGCACCATTGCTGCTTTGTTTTGGGATCGTAAATATAAATTCATATTTCGTCACCTGTTACTATATCCCACACCAAATTTGATGTCCCTTCGTTGAATCTGGTAAACATGGCATTGCACCAAGTGACGCGATCCTTTTTTTGAGCCTTAGTCAAATTATAATAATAATAATAATCATCTTTATTATCTCTTTACAAAGGCGTTCCATTAATACTATATTCTTATGGCTAATCTGCTAAGGAGAATATACATATACAAATGTCTGAAATACCTTTGTAAGAGGCTGGAGTCCATACTAGGTATAGACCTGTGTCACGGATCTCCAGGCTCTCACCTCCGGACATGATTGAGCTTAACAGAATAAATCAAGATTGCAGCAAATCTAATTATAAAACACAAATTTAAAATATTGGATGAACTTAGCGTATAACTCTTAATGAATAAAGTAGAAATTAAACCAAGAAAAACAATAAAAATAAAGTAAAATAGTAATTTATAATGAATGTGTGAGTACGGATGGTGTGAATATGTGCGAATGTGAGTGTATATGTGTAAGTAATTGTGTGTATGTATGTGTGTGTTTGTGTGTGTGTTTGTGTTGTCTTTTTTATTGTATATAAGTATATGTGTTAACACCTGTGATTAAATGACCCTGTACCACAAAAATATTTTGTACCACATTGCAGCAAATTTAAAAATATTATTATCTCAGTGACACACGTCATTACATGTCACTATGCTTGAATAGAAAGGAGGTCTTCCGTGGCTCGATAATCGAGATTCAGCAACCATTCTGTGATCTTAGTTTTGCATTCATTTTTTGTAGCTGGGTACAAGTTAAGAACTCGATTTATTTTATTATATAAGTAGCTCCCAAGGAAGCAAAAAAATCTCCCAGCAAACTGACTTCGGAAGATTCCCGTGAAGCACACCATATATTTCCTTCTTTTGTTCATGTGCGTCGGGTCGAAAGACAATTTGGAATGTTTCAGTAAGATCACGTGCTGTATAAATAGTTGGCGTACGGACAGGACATTAGCCGCCTTGTACAGATCACTAGTTGGGTGTAGTCGCGGTAAGAAAAGGCTAACCTTCAGTATCAGTCGCTGAGCTCTCTCCAGCGGTAGAAGGATAGAAGTGGATGCGCCACCCCATACTGAGACACAATAAGTCAAAAGTGGTTGGCAGAGTGCTAGGTAAACCATTCTAACAGTACTAGGTTCACTTACATGTCTCAAGTTCCTAAATACATACGTTAATTTAGGCACCCTGTCCGAGAGAGCATCCACCTGTTGACGAAAACTAAGAGTTTCGTCGATAATTACACCTAGATACTTGATCATGGAGGCCCTTGAGAGAGTAGGGCAAGAACAAGGACGAGCATTTTGGCGGCACGAATGGGCAATAATACTATTATTTTCATGTTCCTGTGAGTGATATTTTTTAGTCATAAAGGTCAGAAATTTTGTTTTGTCAGTATTTAAAGTAAGTTTATTTTCAGTTAGCCAGTTTAATACCCTACTGAATCCAACTTGAGCCTCCCTATATACCTCTTCCCAAGAATCCCCCCTGAAAAGAAGAGCCGTGTCATCCGCGAAGGAAATAATTCTACCCTCCCCTAGATCAAGGTTGCACAGGTCATTTATATAAGTTAGGAAGAGGACTGGTCCCAGAATACTTCCCTGCGGGATTCCGTGTAGAATGGGAAGATCGTCACTAACACACTGTCCAATTTTCACCCTCTGGCATCTGTTTCTCATGTAACTCTGGAATAATTGCAGCTGTAACCCCCTCACTCCCAGAAGCTCAAGTTTTCGTAACAACAGCGGAACTGAGACCGTGTCAAATGCCTTTGCCAGGTCCAGGAAGATCACGATAACCTTTTTATTTGCATCTAAATTAGTCACTATGTAATTAGTTAGCTCGTGAACCGCCTGGCTAGTGGAATGTCCTGATCTGAATCCATATTGTGAGATGGATAACAGACTGTTACTCTCTAAATATTTGGTAAACCGTACATTAATCACTTTTTCCAGGATTTTGGACATGACGGGCAAGATTGAGATAGGCCTATAGTTATTGACACAGTCTCTGTCCCCACTCTTGTAAATGGGAAGTACTTCCGCCAGTTTTAGGATATCAGGGAACGTTCCAGTGTCCAAAGCTCGGTTGCATATATAGGTGATCGACTCCGTCAGCTCGACTCTATACCGCTTGAAAATTGTTCCTGAGATGCCATCTCTACCCACGGAGCAATCAGATTTCAAACTGAGTATGATAGCATCGATTTCAGTGCAATCCGTATTCAGTAAGACCAGTGACTTCGGGTGTGCTCGTAGAGGGCGGTACATGCTATGTGTCACAAAAGACAAAGGGATTTTGTCAGAATAAACCTTACCAACATTAACGAAAAAAGCGTTTACTTTGTTTATTGAGACGACAGGGTCATAAGCGATAAGTTCAGTTGGAGTCGATTTGTTCTTATTAGTATTGGTTGCCAATGCGATAGCAGACCACAACTTTTTATTACTTTTCGTCGCTGCACTAGAGATTTCATTTTTGTAGTACTGCCTTTTAAGTTTTTTAAGAAGAGCATTACAGAAGTTTCTGTACCTGCTGTAGGTTACTTTTAATATAGAGTTATTAGGATTTAGTTTAGATTTAATATGTAATTTGTCACGATTTCTCATACATTTGAGTACACCCGGTGTGATCCAAGGCTTGTAAATTATTTTACGATTTGAAATTTTTATTTTTATCGTACTATTTAAAATTGCATTGCTTAGTACATTCACTAAGTAGGACGTAGCCTGGTTTGCATCAAAAATAGTGTATATACTACTAAGCTCACTCGATTTCAATGCAACATCTAGCCTATCATAATCGATACGAGAAATTATTTTTTGGGATTGTTTATAAATCTGTGTACGATGTGTTAATACTAGAAAAGAAGAATAATGATCAGTTATGGTAGTTACCGACACATAACAACAGGCTTCAAGTTTAGTTTTTAGGAATATGTGATCTAAACATGTTTTATTATGTGTGGGGTATTTATGTGCCGAGAGCATTCCGTGTGAGCATAACATATCCAAATATGTAGAAGAAATAACACTATTTTCAATTATATCAATATTGATGTCACCTAGTAAGAAGATATTATTCATATTAGAGTTCATAAGTAAATATTGATTTAATGATTCTATGAAGGTCGTAGGATCATGTATACCCCATGGTCTATATATTGCGATTATTAGCGTGTCCATATTTATCTTCAGTGTGAGACAGTTACAGTCCAGGATGTTAGGTTCTTCTACTATAATATTTAGCGTATCAATAGCATAAATTACGACGCCCTCATTTTGAGTGAAGTTTTGATTAGTTTTGTAATAATTATAATTTTTAATACTTGGAATTTTGTTTGTTTTGGGAAGCCAACACTCAGAAAGAATAATTAAATCCCAAGCAACATTTGTTCTTTGCATCAATGTTAAGTAGTCATCTAAGTTTGCAGTTATACTACGGATATTTTGATGTGCTACGTTTAAGTAGGGTGAGCGGTCCTTTGTCACTGTGGGAAAATTATCTACACTTGGGAGAATGCACGAGGTAGCCACCGAAAAGTTATCGATTTGATCTGAAATATTTGTTAATTTATCGAATTGTAATAATTAGACATTTTACGGTCAAGTCTTGCAGGTACAAAATAGTTATACAGGTATAAACTTGGTTCAGTAGGGTCAGTTTTGATTTGTGTAATATGTGATTTATGTTGAGTGAAGGTTTACTCCATGCGTCTTTGTTAACTAAAGCAAAATAAATTTTTGAATGTATTGATATGATAAAGTAAGCATATTGGTATAAATTTGTTAATATAAATTTGTATTGTATTAATATAAATTGGATATTATTCCTAGTGTGTGAGTGGAAGGTTAAGGTGTGTTTATAACATAAATATCTGAGTATGTTTACCATTGATGAAATTACGAGTTGGTTAGTCAACATAGGATAAGCAATATAAAAATATTTCAACTGTAATAGTCATATTACGGAGAGTTTACGAAGGTCTTCCTCATCATCTATACGGATGGTTGGAGATTTTTCTGATTTTCGCAGATAAACTTTGCCATAGGCAGTCCACGCTCCATAGTAACCATATTTTGCCGCAAAGTCCTTAGCTAAAAATCGTAGTCTCCTTGCCTTTCCCGTAAGTGATTCATCAATATAAATTGGTAGATGAGGATTTGGGTGGGCAATCAGGTTTAGATGTCCAGTGTTTAATTGTGGTCTTTTATTAATTTTATTCTCCCTGTTATATTGCCTACATTTCTTGATGACATGATCCTTCAAGGACGACGAGTTGAGATGTACAATAAGATGACTATTGCCTTGTTTTGTTTTTTGACGATACACCTCATTTATAGCAGAGTCAGTTATTTTATGTCCTATTTCATCTCCAATACGCTTGACAATCTTTGAGAGGATTTCTGGATTTTCTGATGGTTGTGACACCCAAATGTTTGTGTAGTATTGATTGTATTTGACTCATAGATGCCCGAATCTCATACTATATCACATGCCTGTCTGTTGTGATCACACGACGCACAGCATCGATGTTTTTGTTGTTCACAGCAGTGGACAGGCGACCATCACGAAATTCGTCATGAGATTCACACGACCGCGTTTGAATTCTGCAAACTAGCTATAAATAGTCGTCCTGTATGGTGCTTCATCGCCAAAAGCAGTTTGAGCCGAGCGAAGCTCCACTGAACTGTTAAATTACACTTGAAATCGTAGAAAATTTTCACGAGTGATGTAGACAACCAATTTCTAAAATGACGCCACAATGTAAAAACAAGTGACAGTCAGATGAAACAAACTGTGGCTGTTCTACAGCCAAAGAGTTCCATTTTCCAATGCTGTAATTACTTTTTAAATATTGTTTATGTGAGTGCCAATTCCGGAAACTTATATTGTGCTCTATGTATAGTAATATTTTTAATTTGTTAAAGAATAAAATATTTTGTTTCAACAATATGAATTTTTACTCAATGAAATTTATTTACTTATTCACTCACCTGAACTGTCTATCCCGCTCTGTGCAATAATACCGAACGACATGAGCATGCGCGTCTGATTCGCGCAGCAACGCCACCTCGCGGTCAGCGAATGTAAAACATTCTGGCAGTAACCGTTTCACGGCTACTGATCGCTTATCGAATGTTCCCCTGTAAATAAGACTATATTAAACGACCTTGCCGGCTTACACTGTGGGTGCTGGATGCGTAGGTCCCGGGTTCGATTCCCGGTAGGACCAAATTGGGGAAATTAACTTTTCTAAATTGGTTCTGGTCGGTGTGTTCTGGGAAGTGCCCCAGAAAGAATTCCATTGCTCCATTATTCATAGTGCATGGAATTTCCTAGTTTGAGACAAGGCAATTGGTGTAGTTGTCTGGCATATTATTATTTTAATTAATATTAATAATTTAAGTTGAGATTTAAAACTGTGGTAAACAACAACTTAGAGGTTATTATATAGCTTCTGCGTACGTGGTTGACAAAAATCCATGACAGTGGCCCGTTTAGCTCTTGCAGGTTATCTTTATTTATTAGAGTGCGTACTGATCTGGCGAATGCGCCAGATTGCAAAAGGCTCGTGAGCACGCGTTACGTTGATCGAACTGTTCGCGTGCAACATACATTAACATGCATTTAACAGCATGCGTGTACCGCGCGTGCAGTGCGCGTACAGCGCGCGCGCATCTCATATGCAGCATGCGCGCGGCGCATTCGCCAGATCGGTACGCATCGTCATATTTGAAATAAATATTGTAAATGATAAATGTGTACAAATGTTTATTTACAAAGAGCCTACTCATTTTTCTCAGGGAAATCTGGCTTACGAATGAGTAGTAGAGTTTAAACAAAGTGACGATTTCAATACAATGTAATTTTATTAACTATGAAATAAAAACTATTTGAGTTTGAATTAAATTGCGTTAAGACTCAAGCATTTGCTGACCTAGACCGTACATAGCTACCAGTAGACTTATTGTCAGTCATTAGTCATAGCTGTGTGAATGTGACTACACATTCTGACAGCACATTATCAATGATATGAACAACACAGGTAGCGTATTGTTCATACATATGTATATACATACAACGTCAAACTATTAAAAATAGCTATTATAAAGGGCTTTAATTTTGATTTGATAACGATATTACACTGTAGCGTTGTACCTCTAAACTCCTTGTTTAGAGGTACAACGCCACAGTGTAATATCGTGAAATGTTCCGTGTTCACCGGGCTACAAAGTGACGCTCAACAAATTCATAAAGATTCAAAAGCTTTAATTGCTATGTCACAAGCCATTAATAACATTTAGCACGTCAAAAATACAAAATATCTTATTAGGCTAGGTCATTCATTACTAACATAATATATTACCTAATTAAATTTAAGAATTTGCACAGAGAAATAAAATATTAATTTAATAAAAATAATAGAATTTTCCATTAAATAAATTGTATAATAAATTATTAATAGATACTATAAGTTACGCTTGATTGAGACGTGTTGAGAAACGTTCACGAGTAACATGTTGTGCTACAATAATATAAGTCTGTGAAAAGGTCATTAGAGTATTTGACTTAATTTTTTTCTTACTTCAATAATAAGGAATATGCACCAATTTAAAACGCCGTTTTTTTTCGGCATCTCAACAAACACCAGCATTAACGATTAAAGTTAGCGGTTCATTACTATGTAGGTTATGACGCCACAAACAGTTATATTTTACGGTTTCTATTTAACTCTGTATTTCAGAATACCTGTAACTATTTTAGTTCTCAAATGCATTTCAATTCCGTTTTTGCAGTGGGCCGTGAAATTGTGTCTATTTCGCAATGATAAGAAGCATTTAATTTTCGATACTTGTCAAATATCCTATCTTTTTATTACAACTAAAAACTTACCTATAAACAAAAGTGCCCTCACATCCCTTCCCCAACACCTGGTCGGTGTGAAAAGAGATTCTGCCAATACGCACTTCTCCTTCGCCAACTTCCTCCAACTGACCCGTAATTTCCCCAGTAGAACTGGTTGATTTGTTCGACATGTTCGACCCTCGGGATCCGCCTTGCGAAAGTTGTTGGAACTCGCGAGCCTTGAATTAAAAACATTTTTAATCAAAAAATACAATAGTATTAATCAATAGAACATCCGCTCTCTACGGGATATAGATATATCCTACCTATATATTCACCCTGGCCCAATGCGGGTTGGATACGTCACGAATGAATATATTTTAAGGCGAAATTATATCATTGCGTAGGCTTTGAAGCGTGTGAAGTAGACGCGGTGAAATTCATTGCACGATATTTAAACATTTGCCTTTTAGAATAAAAATCAGTCTAACTGCGTATTTATAACGGGATACAGCAGAGAAAATTGTATGAAATATCGCTAATAACAATCGAATGAAACTGGTTTTTCCGTAGATGAAAGTAGTAAAAAGTGAAAATTTCATTTTACTGATAATTTTATTTTATATTAATTTCATTTAATTTTTCAATTTTACTTTGTAATTTTCTATCAAATGATCTTTAGTCAATCGTGTTTTGCCCCATAATTCACTACCGGTATGTTCTGTTTCCATTATCAATTAAACAAGTTGAATTTGTATTTTTTAATGTCGAAATATCGATTTTCCTTGTGGTCGAATTACGTCTATCTTGAGTCTGACTTCACCTTAAGTATTTCACAAACCTTCCAAAATGCGGATTTCTTCGCGATGTTTTTCTTTACTGATAAATAAATCACGCAATAGTGCAAGTGCTAGGAATCAAACTAGTCTTCTTAAGCATTGGCAATGTAATGTTTTCACGGATAAGTGAAGTTTTTAATGTAGTTTCTATAGAGCTAAAAATGTATCGTCGCTGTAGTTAAAGACTTGAGCTAGTTCCAAAGCATTATATAACCTTATGTTAATAAATAATGAAGTTGTAATACCACAACTTTTCAGATAAAAGTTTATCGTACTAATTAATAAACGGGCTACGAACACGATTCGATTCGTTAATTAACTGTCCTTTCGTAGCAGCACAGCTCGTTGTGAAAGTGTTCGTCCAGGGAAGTACTGCCCACCTTACCTATTTTTGCCGCCAAACAATAATGTGAACACAATTGCGTTCCGGATTTGAAAGGTAATGGTGCTGGTGAAATTACAGGCACATATGTCTCAGGGATACGGACGCAGTGATAGTGCCCCTAAAGATCTTTGCAATGTAAAGCTCTGAGTGGCACTGCAACTGCTATAGACAGGCGTGGCATTACCACCAGACGCACGACTTATTCTTACCGTCAATTAGTTGATAAAAAAAACTGGTTACCGCCATTTACTACTTTTATACTACTATGAGTGTGTGAGTGTGTGCGTTGTTTTAAAAATTAAGAAAAGTCCAATTTATTTGTAGTCTAAACTGAACTCTAGGTATTCTTAGTAAGTAGCAAAACGCGCAACGCCATTTTCGCTCATATTGCATGGACATAAAGGTTTTTCTGACCGGCTCCAGGCTGTTCCGCGTGAACAAATGTGGTGAGTCCCTTAGGATATAAAATTAGGATATCCACTGTGTATTGGCAACCGGTACTATCTCAATTCTGACAACTTTACAGGATGAAGATACGTAGTGTACATTCTTTTAAAAATATTTAAAAACTACTTATTTTTATTTAATTAACCAGGTACTATGCAAATAACGCAAACAAAGTTGTCAAAATTGAGATAGTACCGATTGCCAGTTCAAAGTCAATATGACGACTATCAAACACCATTTTATTATACGTTCACCAGTTCCGGTTAAAATGTGTAATCCAATCTCCTCAGTAGTCGGTTATATAAAATAATGCAAATTAGACACGGCCCGTATAACATGAAAGGTTACACTTTGATTAATAGCATTTTGATTATTTATGCTGTTCATAAATGAAAACAAGTGTAGTACAAGGATTACTATTGTGACATAATTGCACGGTCAATACATTCGCGTTGAATGTAAAACAATATTCATGAAGATAAAAGAAAATTAATAAACTAAACACCGTATTCCAATCGTAATAAATTACAAGTTTTTAACCCCCGACGCAAAAAGACGCCCAGTTAAGGCGCGTGTCCACGCCAAGAAAAATCGCCGGGTCTATGCAAGAACTCGTGTCGTTGCTACACACGAACTGTGTACACTGCCTCGGCCCCAGACAAAAAAAAAATCTTGTCTACCCCCGACACCACGCGCCATGCCGCTATTGTATGAGGCGGGGTGATGTGCACTGTCAGTAAATGAACGTTTATGCGCGCGGACAGGTGTTGCTTAGTAGTCAACGTATACAACAACATATTTCCTCCCACAGTCGGTAGTAAAATGACAGCTACCTTGAAGACTCGTAATGCACTGACACATTTTACCCTACACTCGTCTGTCCGCAAGCATACGTATCGTGTACATACTCATCATTTTCTCGTCTGTAACAGACACGACATATTTTCGTGGCTAGATCCGACAAAGTTCTTGTCGTGTACAAGACCATTCTCATCTTTTCTGTAGCAGCCACGTCGAATTTCTAAGCGTGTTCACGCGCCCTTACACGAAGCAAATTTTTATGGCGACATTAATGGCGAATCTAAATTCTATTTACTTCTATTACTAGGCTACAAATATTTAAATTCCTAAATAATATAACCGCGTGATCACCGCGCGTAGACCAAAGACAAGTCAGTCTTGCCAGTGTTTATATGGAGGCTAATTTAACTGCTCCGTTGCCGAACGGTTACCATGTTGGACTGCCACGTACAGGTCACGGGTTCGATTTCCCGGCCGAAAGAAATATTTGTATGGCCCAAAATTTAAGTTATACTTTATAACTTTATTCCTAATACGTTATGAAAAGATATTGATTAATTTAGTTATGGGCAGATATTTAATATGTGGCTTACTATCGCATTAGGTAATAATATAATATCAAGTGACGGAACAAACCAGTCATGCGCCTGATGGTAAGTTACACGCCCGTTCGTAACAGTTGCAGTGCCACTCAGAGCTTTAAATCGCAAAGATCTGAGAGGCACATCTACTGCGCACGAAACCTTGAGACAGTTGACAAGTCCCATGTGCCTATAATTTCACCAGCACCCTTACCCTTCAAAACGCGAACACAATGCTAACATTACTGCTTGGCGGCAGAAATAGGTGGCAGTACTTCCCTGGACGAACTCTTTCACAAGGAGCTCTACTGGTGCTAATGGTAAATTCATGTATTAATAATTTATAAGTATTGGTAAATAAATAAATTACAAGTTATTAATAAATTATTAATTATCGATAAGTATTTTCAAGTGGGCGGACTATGCATACGCCTACAGCATTTTAGAAGGTGTCAATTTTCAAACCACTACACAATCAACTTTGTGCCATTACGGATTCTCTTTATTCTAAATTGCTTGTTGCGCGTTCGACCATATGCCACGATAAACATGTTTATACTGCAACTTGATCCGTTGTAACATTAAAATTTCCCAATTGAGTAAGCCGTTACTCATAATATCCGCTATCTGTTAATTCAAGGTGCACTGTTCAAATGTTTTCATATTCAACCAAAACTGCATTTTAAATTTATGTAATAGGGTTCAGATCTCGTGTGAACATTCCGAAGATACAAATAAATATAAAACCACTTTAGACGTTAAATATTATTGGATAATTTAAACGTTTAGATTATTTTATGTCACTGTAGAACAGAACAAACGAAAGGAAATACCGTTTTAAAATGCTACAAATTTCAAACAAAACGAGATACATTTTTGTCGACGCAAAGTCAACAATCAACACATTGTTTGTGCGTCAAACTCTCCAAGAAATGAGAATGTTTCGAATAACTTCTACGTTAATATGTACGTTCGAAGCCATAGGAAATTTTATGCAGATACCTAACCAGTAGAGTAGCAACAATCGCTATAAATATAAATTTATGCAAAATTATCCAGGTGCAAAAGAGCTTTGCAAATTTTAAGCAAGATTTTTAGTTTGCCTATGTAGTAAGTAGCAACAGAGCTCCTTGTGAAAGAGATGGTCCAGGGAATTGCCATCTTTCCTATTTCTACCGCCAAGCAATACTGTGAGCATGTTTTAAAAGGTAAGGGTGCTGGTGAAATTGCACATGCACATGGGACTGTTAACTTATTTCTCAGCGTGATGGACACGGTGGCAGTGCTGCTCCATAGTAATAATAACACAAACACTCATATCCCCGCACGAGAGACACCCTGCATCCCTGGTGTCATGGATACACAATAACTTAACTAAAATACACAAACACAGACAACCACAAATAACATCCAAACTCACGAGATAAATAAATATAGGCCATACAAATATTTCTCCCGACCCGGAAATCCAACCCGGGACCTCTCCGTGGCAGACCAGCATGGTAATCGTTCGGCCACGGAGGCAGTTCTGCTATGGACAGGTGTGTCGCCTACCACCACGAGCACTTCGGTGAAATTACAGGCACATGGGACTTGTCAACTTGTCTCAGTGATTTTAAGCTCTGAGTGACACTGAAACTGTTATGGACAGGCGCGTAGCTTACCATCAGAAGCACGACTTGTTCGTCCCGTCACTTGATTTTTTTTTAAAAAAGCACGACGTGTTCATCCCGTTAGGTGGTATCATTAAAAAATATTGCCGCAGTAAATTGAGAAACTATAGTAAAAGTAAAATAGATATAAGATACACTATCAAAAGCGAAGTATCTCGTGGGCCAATTTCAAAATCGGTAAACGAAAAAAGATTACGGCGTGTTTTTCCATTGGCAATTTGCATGCAAGTATGACGACGTCACACGCACCAAGAGTCAATTTTCGAATAAAAAGTGATTATATTTTTTTCTCTACATTACTAAACAAAAGTAAAATATACTTTTTCTTTTACTTGACGAGTAGGACTCTACTGGCGGTTTAAACACTTGAACTACTTTTTCTCATTGACTTATTCGAAATTTCATGAAAAAATTTTTAATTACTTTCCGTATATTCATTCAATTAAATGAACTCTAAGTGACAGTGAAATAGCTAATTTGCTTAGGTGCCCGTTTTTTTTGCAAATGAGTGTATAATTTACGTGTATCATTTAAGTTTGTATTTCTTACCTATAATGTAGTGTTTTCTTGGTGAATATTTAAAAATTTTGAATTTTTTTTAAAGAACCCAATATTTACGTAGAACTATCGCCTATGTGATTCTTTGTATCGTAAACAGTTGCTTATTAATTGTAACTTATTCATTGCAAAAAAAACCGACCTCAAAGTTTGCTTATCGGCTTTTTTCGATTTCCACGTGAGCCCCTCATCAGATTCTGACTCTTAGTGACATTGGGACTGTTACTGACTCATTTGTACATTTTATACTTTTTTCTGGTTGTCATGGTGACGGTGATTTGTTGATGACATGTGTATTGTGTCAAGTGAAAAGTCGACTTTTATTTACGGAAAATAATTAGTAATTTGTGATAGCCGAAACGAACCCGGTACAGCATCGTAGGCATCAGGGACTACCTCGAGAGTATACCCATCCAGACAAAAAAGAATTTTCTAAATCAGTCCACAATTGATGGGGAAATCGGTGAGTACACTAACATGCCTATAAAATCGAGGATTTTCGATCTCGATTTCCATGGGATCCACTCATCAGATTCTGACTTGGTGACAACAGGACCACTAAGAGAGTGCACACTTTCAAACAAAAAAGAATTTCAAAATCGACCAACAACTGATAGAGAAATCGGAAAACATACATACAGCCGAAGGTATCACCTCCTCCTTTTTTTGAAGTCGGTTTTAAAGAGAAAAATAGATTTAAAAATAATAATAACAATTACCTGATATCGCAGATACCAAAACATAGTGACGACCAATCCGCATAAAATAATTAAAGCCACTTTCAAGGCTTTATTCTCTTGTTGATGCAACCAAATATAGGCCTTTTTGTACCACAGGTCAGGTCTAAAACTGAATTCGAAGTACTGTTCCGTTTGCACCGAGACCGATATGGAGTTAGACTTTAAATTTGTTTCGTTTTCTACGTCATTCTCTGACTGTGCTTGAACTTGTCCGTTAATAAGTTTGATAGGGTTGCTCTGCTCTTTCACTTTTAAGAAATTATTGTTCGGAATTTGAGGCATCCATGCCGTTGTTAATTCTGGCACTTTATAATGTCCCAGTAACAAATACGGCGCGGAAACGTGTAAATTCAAATCCTGCAATTTATAATGTATATTTTTGAATGGCTCGTATTTCTTTTCACTCTCTGAGTTTTCAGTTGCAGGCCCTTCTATAAGCAACGGTTGTGTGTGACCTGTTGAGATTGTTATCGTATTTTTATCTACCAGTGAAGATAATGCGTATAACCCATGGTTATGTTCTCCTACGTATAATGTGGGGCTGAAAATTGAAAAAAAAAAACCACTTTACTAAATTTAAAAAAGAAAGCAAAATGGTATGTAATCAGGATCGCAATTAGAAACATGTAGATATTTCACTGAGGCATAACGATATGATGTATGTAATAGTATTACGTTAATTAATGAGTAGACAGACATTCAAAGAAATATTTTCAAATAACATTTTGAATAATACTGCCCTCCTTATCTTAATTAACGTAAACGACACTTTTGGCGAATTCGAGTTATTTACTTATCTGGAATCAGCAAAACGAGATCTATAACCGGTTTTTTAATGTTATTTTGTTTAAGTTACATTGTGAAACAAAATCAGCTTAATTGACAATTTGATAAAAAGAGTTCGTCCAGGGAAGTACTGCCACCTTACCTATTTCAACCGCCAAACGGTAATGTTAGCATTACTGTGTTCCGGTTTTGAAGGGTAAGGGTGCTGGTGAAATTACCGACACATGGGGACTTGTCAACTTATGTCTCAAGGCGTCGGCGCAGTGGCAGTGAGATCTTTACAGATTTAAAGCTCTGTGGCACTGTAACTGTTATGGACAGGCGTGTAGCTTACCATCAGGCTACCGCATGACTTGTTCATCCTGTCACTTGATATTATAAAAAAAACTTCAAAGTGAAAAACTTTAGGTGTGTATATCTACAAATGCACATGCGTTAGTATACATAATCATCATAAACAGTTGCCAGACTTTATCTTCAGTCAGTCTCTGAGAAATTCTCTATATTTCAAGTGTTAGCGAACACATTGTAACTTATGAATCGTACATTGCTATACATCCAGTTTTAAACGGAATAACAGGTAATAAAACAAGTCAAAGCACTATCGACACAACAACAAAATAATCTCTGATCTCGTGGCCTTGAACACTATGTTTCACTCGACATTATGCGTATATAGGTACATAGAAACAGCATACGACCCATCGAGAGTATAAATATGTCGCATATCATAAAGAGTCTTGGATGGCGATCATTCGATGATTTTCCATGTTTACAAACGAATTGATAATGGAAAGTGTTTCCGGCATTTAATCTCAGGATTCTCCGACAAATATATAAAATCAAACCTTTTTGTACCGTGGAGTAGGTTAAGGCTACAATGAACTTGGATTTGGAAAAAGCAAAGATGGCGATGTAAACAAGTTTTCCGTATTTACAAATCGAACTTTGCCTGTCTAAACAAAATTTGTTTCAAAATGTAAAAAACTTAGGAAATGAAGCTATTTTTCGCATTTTAAAACGCACAAATTATGTTTGTTTTTTTTCAAACAAACCAACGTGTTAGGCCCTTATAATTAATTTAAAAATACATATTGTTAAAATAAAATAATATGTAAAAACATATGTAGCGTAAATTTTTAATTATTTTTTTTTTTTTTTTTAATTTATTGAGGAACAAACAGTTTTACATATTTAAAAATATACATACTTAAAATTAACATATTACTAAACCTACAGTTCCCTAAATATGCATATAAAACAAAAAAGTATACGGTATACTGACACTTATAAACGTAAGTTTTATAAACGTTAAAAAAAAACAAAGTAAAATGAACGCAACACCACCCGTATCCCTCAAACTATGCAACGAACGCACATTTTCTAAGTTTGCTGGATGACAGGCACCGGTTGGTTACGTTCGGGAGCGAGCGGTCGTGTTACGCAACGAGATAAGTACTAAAATGCTATAGTGTAAATTAACATAAGTCGGAATCTAAATGATCCGGAGACCTAAAAAAGAAACAATTGTTCAATACAGGTCGCAGTGTTTGTATAATGCGATGTGTTTACTTTTTGATAAATACTTATTATTAGTATTTATATGACGGCTTGCGAGAACCCCGGATTTTGCAATGTAAACTCCACGCACCAAACGTGGTGTATACTGTAGGTAAGCATGACAGCAAATGTTACTTATTACCTTATATTAACTAATAAATTATTATGAATGAAAATAAAATCTTAATATTAATAAATTGCATTTCAGATAATAACATCTATAATTATAATTGTATGAATCAAGGACAGTGATGATGATGATATGATCGTCATCTATAGCAAGATATTAAATTCTTCATCATAAAAAAAAAAAAAAAAATATGAATGGATGGCGTGAAGGCCAGAAACTTTAGGTATGAATAGAACGTGTTTCGATTACCTATTATTACGGGAAAAATGCTTATTTTGTGGTAATGTTGTGAAATATTAATTATTAATTTCGTTCCTTATTTATTCCTTATTATTTGGTTCCTTATTTAATTATTAAATCTTTTGTAGCTATAAAGAAATAAGGTAGTTCACATTAATAATGAAATAAATATTAGACAACATCACATACGTTGCCACGATCCCAAAGTAACTAAAGCACTTGTATTATGAAAACCGGAAACAACGACTATAGCACAAAGATCCAGACCCGAAACAATATAGAAAAGTTAGTTTTTCTACATTTCTACATTAATCCGGGCGGGGATCGAGCCCGGGACCCCATAGTTGGCGACACCATGAAAACGGGTGCGCAAGCCACTCAACCACGGAAATCGACGTCGGAATAATATATTATTATATTACACGTTATTATATATGTTCAATATAATATAATAATAATTTAATGCCGCTATGGAACACATAAAGGGCCTGAAACGTTGGTTTGTTTGATGAAACAAATACACGCGATTTAAGCACGAAAAAAATTATAACTTTTTTATTAAAAAAACCGAACTCAAAAGTTCGTGGAATTATATCTGTTTGCCAAGTTTGATTGAAATTATTACCGAAAAATGAGCGAAACCAGATTCATCCCCTACTTTGCCACCCTTAGAGATGGAATATTTTCTTCAAATTTAAATGGGACCGAGCACAAATTCGAGACAGAAGCATGAATTTGTTATCACAAATTTGAACATTTATTACGCCATGCGACGTATTTAGCTATTAATTAGTGTTCACACTAGAACAAGCATTCTCATAAAACAAAATGACAACTTAGCCTTTTTCGCGATATTACTATATTATATATGTATCATTCTGTCCCCTGTTATATATATATATAAAACAGGGGACAGAATGATTCCGGCGCATGATGAGATCATTCGGTTACAGACACTACGAATTTCGATCTCCACCAAAGATCATCTTTTGTTTAAGTTTTTTTAAACTTTGAAAATCTCTACATTCAGGTTATCTCGTATTTCCGTATTTCAGGTTATCTTGTATTATCGTTCATACCAAAGCGAGTGCAACGCTGTAAGTATTTCTTCATCATATCAGAAACTGTACTCTGCGTGACAACTTTATGTGAAAAATAAAATATACACTCCCGGATACTTAATTCGGGACACCTTACACATTTTGAGTATTAAATGCCCTAAGCTTAAAGAATGTTTGATTTGTCAAAAACGGTTAGGCAATATTAAAACTGATATACTAAACGACATTTACATGTCCCTGTTGAAAATTTGAATTTGAAACCCTGGGAAAATTTTCTCTTCGGTGAAAACAATATCTTTCTATTCTAGTCCTTTAAGAATATAAATGCATGGTGCCTGGAATTATGTTTACGGGTGTGTCTTAAATTTGAACTTTGTTTTGTCATTTACAAAAAGAATACTTATTAATTGTTACTAGTGGACCTTTTAAAAGACACTTATTGCTTTTATAGGTGTACCTAAAGTGAATTTAAAAGGGTTGATGATAGCGAAAAAATGTACAAAACTACCAAATCAAATACCCAAATGCTAGAAATGATAAAACCTAGTGACAGTGTAATTATGGTCAGCGTCAAAATGTTTTGAAAAAATATCTGAACAATTGCTAACAAACTTATTTCTTTAATAAAAATTAAATTCTTGCAAGTCATCTTAAAAATTGAAAGTGTTACACAAGTTAAAACGCTCAAAAAAAATTTAACTTTCCGTACGCTGCTTAACTGATCATTCAATGAAGCACAACTAAAATCGCAATAAGCTATAGTACTTATCATGATGAAGCAAAATATACTTACTACAACTCAATATTAGAGTTCTTAATGCCCTGGCCGTTTCTAAGCGTCGAAGCGTCTTCCATGATATGATCAAGTGTATCATCTCCGATGGAATTAAAAGGCACTGATATGAGGCCATCTCTGTCGAGGAGATAAGCAGCTACGACTGGAGTCTCCAGGTTGTGTGACCAGACAAGATCTCCGGTTTTTCTGTCGAAAGACATCACTCGGCCGCTCGATGTCGATGTGAAGTGGATTATACCTTGAGTTTCAAATGAAAAGTAGCGCTTATTTCCAGCTGTCACCACTGGCTTTGTTCCCACTAGCGACAAATGGGAAAAAAAATCCCATATGTTACCAGGTGGCAACAAACGGAATAAAAAAATCCCAGTTGTTGGCAGTGGTAATTTCTACTAGCGACAAATGGGAAAAAAGCCCCATTTTACCAGGATAAAAAAATCCAGTCGTTACCAATGGTGATTTCTACTGGCGACAAATGGGAAAAAAAATCCCATATGTCACCAGGTGGTGTGAGGTGACAAACGGGATAAAAAAATCCCAGGTGTTGCCAATGGTGAGTTGTACTGGCGACAAATGGAAAAAAAACCCATATGTTACCAAGTTATAAACGGGATAAAACAGATCTGTTGTTGCGGCAACTGGAATTTAAAATATCGAGTTTAATGATAAAAGTATAGATCTTATTAAGTTGAATTTTATTTTATTCCCTTTCGATGGCGGCAATAAACTTACATTAATTGGAATTTTTTATTCTATTTGGTTTTTTTTACCACTGGCAACCTACTGAGATAGTTTAAATTCCATTTGCCGCCAGTGGCAACAACAGATCTTTTTATCCCGCTTGTCACCACCTGCTAACATATGGAATGTTTTATTTCCGGTTCTCGCCAATAGAAATCACCACTGGCAACAACTGGGATTTTTCTATCCCGTTTGTCACCACCTGGTAAAATATGGGATTTCTTTCCCATTTGTCGCCACTGGAAATCACCACTGGTAACAACTGAGACTTTTTTATCCCGTTTGTCACCACCTGGTAACATATGGGATTTTTTTCCCGTTTATCGCCACAGGAAATCACCACTGGTAGCAACTGAGACTTTTTTATCCCGTTTGTTACCACCTGGTAACATATGGGATTTTTTTCCATTTGTCGCTAGTGGAAACTATTCCAGTGGTGACAACTGGGAATAAGCGAAAAATAGGCTTACTTTAACTTGTAATAATTTGTGAAAAAATACTGATAATCGCTATATTTTTCCTTTTACGCATTGGTTGAGACTAGAGTTGCAACGAATACTCAGTTACTATTCTGTATTCGGATGTTCGGCCTCTTTTTTACTATTCGGCCAATACCTAATTTTCAATCACTATTCGGCTGAATATATAATACCTAAAAACTTAGTACCTAGTCATTATTTGCAAACCAAAACAAAATTTGAAAGTTTATCAAATTTAAGTGAAATAAACAATTGCTTTCTTCATTAAGTCATAAAATTAAATTATAAGTTTGAAAACTAAAGTGCCTTTTTTGTTAGATTGCACAAAATTATCGTATAAAAGTAAGTGAAGTTAATAAGTGTGGTATTTTTGTGCCAATTTTCGTACATGCGTTAATCAGATCGAATAGTTTGGCCGAATATTCGGTGTTCAGCCAGAATTTACCATTCGTTGCAAGACTAGTTGAGACTCGAGTCCGTTATTATCAATATCAATACACATAATTGGAAATGAAACTATTTTTCCGGATTTCAATCGCGTATATTTGTTTTTTCAAACAAACCGACGTTTCGGGCCCTTTACAGGTCCCATGGTCACGGTTGATTGAAGTTGACTTAAATCCGGAAAAATAGTTTCATTTCCTATGTGTAACAATCGCGAAAACCTAAGAACTCGATAAATACACATAATTCCCTGTGTGCAATGTCATCTGGCTGTTTGGCCAAAATCAACCATGCTAACACATTGTAATCAAAGTTCAAACAGAAAATATTTAACTTTCCAACACACAGTTTTTAAACGCAATATATAGCGGGTATAATGGACCAAAATGTCTCCCAGTCGAGCAGTAGTATATATCGAAAGTTACTATTCACTACATCATGATATTAGTTTATACAGCATCAGCTAAAGTATCTTTAAGCCAATGTATTTCACTCTATCCTAATAATACGAGACTTATCAGCAATTATAATCATTTGTATACTCCACATTGGTCATTTTATTGCAAAAACTTTAATTACATATAGACACGCTAGTAATTGCACATTTCAATGACACGACTGGCAAAAATGAAATGAACAAATATGTTACCATCATAACAAAAGGTTCTTAAGTTCAGTTTACATTGCCGCGGTACGGAATGGAAGCGAATTGTTGTAATCATAGCATAATGAACTTTATGTTAATTGTGTAACGCACAAACAAGATTAGAGCCAATAGAATAGTAAAATAAGAGATGTATGGTAACTCCTTACAAAATGACAGCGCGGCTTGTATGTGTCTGCGACCGCCGCGCACCGTGTACGGGCGCACACTTTCGCATAATAATGAAAGGAGCGATGGGATGGCGCGCGCACACATATAAGCTGCAGCGCTGCTACGTTTGCATGGAATTACCATACTTGTCTTATTATACTATGCCAATAGTGCGCAATCTCGGGAATTTCCGCAGCTAACGTATCGTATCTACTTTTTACGTTACACAATTGACATTAAGTTCATTATGCTATGTACAATTTCGTTACAAAAATTCACTTCCATTCCGTTACGCGGCAATGTGAATTGAGTCTTAGAGCACTATAGATAAATAGCTACTAAGTCCTGTATTAAATGCGTAGCGGTTGATATGAGATTCAGTTATCGGAATGTATGTTGTGGATATTCCAAACATTCGCACGAATTGTTACGCTTCCACATTTATATGGCGAACGGCATGAAGTCGAATTCCCTGCCTGCAAACTTATTCCCTGAATGCTGTAACGCCTTTTCAAGGCGAGAGTGACTAGGCATTATTTAGGTGCTCCATCGTCGACCTCATTGTCTTTTATCATCAGGTGAGATGGAAGTCAAATGCTCGCTTATATGTTATAAAAAGAATCTCAAGCTCTCCTGTATTAAGACTGTAATTAACGGCAATATGGGCAATGTCATTTCAAGTGATCAAGACAATACACTAGATTGATTAGGATTTAATAACAATCTAGAGCCGTAACGAATGAGGTTTACCTTAATGATACGTAAAGTAATCACTGAGTAATAGTTGACGTACACTCAACAGATATTTATTAATACAGACATTTAACGCAGTGTACAGGAAAATTTACCGTAAAATAATACTGATAAGACTGATCTTGTGTACCGTTAATACATATAAATTATATTAGAGTATACTCACCATAATCATTTAACATTTCCTTCCCCATAGCATGAGACGTATAGTCAAAGAAGGTAACGTTCCATTTTGAATTCTCGTTCTTCGAATCATGCATCAGAATATTGTACTCAGTCCTAGCGACGTATATGCCACGTTTTTTGTCTGGCGCACACGTGTCCTCTCCATTATTAAATATTGTTGATTTGTCAAAGCCTGTAAGTTAGTTATAGATAAATATTGATTAAAAGTAATGTGTTATAACGAAACGATTGCTTAACACGAGTTATTTCATTAGTAATGCCTTTACACCTTTTCTAAAGAAGCTATTAGGCATTACGTACAAGTTAATGGTAAGACATAGATCTACTAATTACTTGGAGATGTGAATGTTCATGACAATTAAAATAATAATTATTATAAGTTGTTATTACAAAAAACAACCGACCTCAATAGTTCGTGAAATTTAATGGAAGGTTAAAGGAAAATGGGTGAAATCCAATAAACTAGATTCATTCCCAATTTGCCACCCTTAGAGGTGGAATATCGTCTTCAAATTTGAATGGGACCATTACAGAGGTACCCCCACTCCAAAAAAAAGAATCATCGAAATCGGTTCTCAAATGTCGGAGTAATCGCGTGACATAGAAATAAAAAATATAGTCGAACAGAAAACCTCCTCTTTTTATTGAAGTCGGTCAAGGTCAAGGAACTCTACTGCTACATTATTATCATAATTATGTCATTATCAGTGATCGGACTGAGGGAGTCAATTTACCTAAACTAAAATAACGTGGACATCCCCTTCTACAAATCCCGGATCTCGGTAATGATCATATTCTAATACATAACAAAATTATTTATTGAAATTTGAGTACATTGGCAACTTGTTGGTGAAATTCTGAAATTACAGGCACATGAGACTTGTCAACTTATGTCTCAGAGTGACGGGCGCAGTGGCAGTGCATTTAAAGTTCTGAGTGGCAATGCAACTGTTAAGGACAGGCGTGTAGCTTACCATAAGGCGCACTAAAAATTATATATATTATATCCTATTAAGTATTTGCTACAAATTATAGTCTCAAAAATAATATAGTTGTATTTCTATAGGTACTCTTACGTATTTAAATACTTTTGCCATTTAAACAATATACATGAGACAACCTATATTTGGTCACTGATAATTATATTATCATAGGTACACTGAAAAAAGGTTCCAAACACGTGCATTTTGAACTTGTTTGGCGAATTCTCAATTGAATCAATGACTACAATATAAATAGCACAATTATTTAAAATTGTTGCTTCAATCATTGTTCTTGATATGCTCAGTTAAGTTACGTAGGGTCGTATTCTAGAACTCTACTCAATGCTCAAGTCAGGATTTGAGTATGGTTTAAAGCACTCGAAATCATACTCTAGTCCCTGCCATTAGGGTCGTATTTCCAGTGCTTGTGTTTCCAGTGCAATCCTGACTTGAGCATTGAGTAGAGTTCTAGAATACGACAGGTTTATTTGTCTCGTGTTGTTGTGTGTTAGGCGTTAATCAATAAAATTTCAATCAGAAAATCAATCAGATTAAAAAATCAATTCACTTGAAATCAATTGTAATTAAAATCAATTGCAACGTCACAATTAATTTTAATTGCAATTATTTGGGTTCCCTAACACACCCCCTCACGGGCTGTCAACCCCTTAACCACCCCTAACACACCCCCTAACCTTCACACACACCCACTCACACACCCACTCACTCACCCACTCACTCACCCACTCACTCACCCACTCATTTACCCACGCACTCACCCGCTCAATCACTCGCTCGCTCGCTCGCTCGCTCACTCTCACACTCACACTCTCTCACTCTCTCACTCTCACTCACTCACTCACTCACTCACTCACTCACTCACTCACTCACTC